GTAAGTGTGTTTGATGTGCAAAAATGCTAGGGGAGAGGTCGTATTTATAGAAGAAAAAAAATTATGATGGAAAGTCTGAAAAGCCCTTGGTTGGAATTGAATGGAAGAATTTGTAATTGGTTAGAATGGAATGAAATGGAGGTTGATTAAGAAGATTAATTATAACTTAGAACATGATTTAGTCCTAGTTTAGTCAAGATAGAACTAGATTGAAAACTAGTACAAACATATCTCCATGATTTGGGGATTTAATCAAAATTCTTCATGAAATCAAACATTCTTGTCTCAAAAAGTACACAACAAAGGGTTCCTCTCGGGTGGCCAGCCACTTGATGATGATTTGAGGGAATTAATTTATTTTTTTCTTGTGCACAAATATTGGAAATTGTAAAATATAGTGTATAAAATAAGTTTTAAGGTACAAGTGTATATATATAATAGTACTTGTTTGGGGTCAATAAGTGATATAATAAAAGTGTGAGGGCTTAGGGTTTAATTTATGAATTGGAACATTTATTTTAGTGTAAAATTAAACTAAATTAGGATTAGAGAATCTAATTCGGTTTGGATTTCTTGTTTCGACTAAAAAGGCAATCAACCGACAAACGCGATAAAAATGGGAAAAACCTGGTAATTCTATTTTTAGGGAGTCAATTAATCAATATTAGAATATTAGAAAATGATTCTTAAGTTACTGAAATCGATTAGGGTTTGCGAGTTTTCAATTGGCGCATATATTTTGATTATAGGATTAAATTGCAATTTAATTAATAAACTGAGGGATTTCAAGGAAATAATTTAAAAAGTAAGGGACTTTTAAGAAAGTAAAATTTTCAAGGGCCTCACAATCTCCACAAGGAAAGTGAGATGATGCACCCAATCCTTTGCACCTTGCGAAGAGAAACCAAATGTTAGTGATCACACTCAACCAGGATTGATCGAGAAGACCCTCCGAAGATCAAGTGAAAATAATAATCGCCCCTAGTGTATAGTATAAAAAAGAAAATATCTCTAGTATAGGATTTGATTAAACTTAGTTGGATTAGATAGGACCCACTTACTTGTCCATCATGCTTGTTTGCTTACTCTTTTATAGCTATTTTGGTTCAACCCTCATCCGTTGGATCTTGCTTTAATTAACGGCCGCTACCTAAACTTAAACTTTGGTCGGGCAACTTACTAAGTGTGCCTTGCCTCTGATCGTTGAATTTTTAGTGTATAGACGGTTTAGATGATATCAAATGTCAGTGGCCAACTCACTACAGGAAATACATCTTCGGCGACTAAAAATGTCGATTAAAAAAAATTTAGTTGCCAAAAGTACATATTTAGCTACTAAAAAAATTTAGTCAGTGAAAGTACACGCTTTAGCTACTAAAAATAATTTAGCGGATATTTATTTTACTTATGGTGACTAATTGAGTTTTAGTCATTAAAAATAGGATTTTGGGCAACTAAAAAAAATGGCCTTTAAATGTACAATCTTCAACTACTAAAAAATTTTATCGGTATTTATTTTACTTTTAACAACTAATTACGTTTTAATCGTTGAAAATAGGGTTTTGAGTGATTAAAAAATTTTTGGTCCCTAAATATATAATCTTTAACTACTAAAAATAATTTAATCAGTATTTATTTTACTTTTAGTGGCTAAATTTTAGCCAGCAATTATAATTAAAAATTTTAAATGGAGGACTTCAAATTTTGAAGGGATTAATAAAATTAATTGACTATTAAAGTACTTAGTCGAAAAAAATACCTTTATTTATAATTGACCGCCAAAAAAAGTAAGTCAGAAAAAAAGAAATAAATTAGGGTTTAACACTCACACACTGATTCTCTAACTCTCTCATGCATCTGTGTCTCCCACTCTGCGACCCTCTCCCACCTATCAAATAAAAAATATGATTAGATTAAATTTACTATGAATAGGAACAAAAGGGTGTGTAATGTGATGGTTGCCTTTTTGTTTTGTTTTGTTTTATTTATATATATATATATATATATTTCAATTTATTAAAGTTGTTAATAGTGTGTTTTTTAATAATCTCAATCAGTTCTGTCAAAAAAAAATAGGAGTTAAATTTATTATGAATAGGAACAAAAGATCCAATTATATTTCAACTTAAATTTACTATGTTTCAACTTTGAAGGGGGTGTGTAATAATTAACTAACCAACACTCTAATCTCTATTTCAACTTAAATTTACTATGTTTCAACTTTCAACTTTCAAAGGGGTGTATAATAGGGGGTGCAACTTGGGCGGGCTCAACCCGAGCAACCCGAACTCAGCCTGAATTTTTTTAGGGCTTGGACAAGATATTTTAAAATTCGGTACGGGTTTGAACAAAAATTTAGAAACTCGAATTAAATTTAGACGGGCTTGAGCAAAGACGTCAAACAACCCGAACAACCCGAAACCCGAATTATACATATATAGATATATAAAAATATTAAATATATATATAAATTATTAGCTATTATATGATATTAAAGTAATTTAGATTATTAAATCATATTGAATATATACTATATATACAAATAACATAAAATCCTACTCCTTTTTTTAAAAAATTTCACTCATAAATTATTAAGACTATTATAGCGACATCTCTTGTATATTATATAAATTATTTATTTTGATGGTATTAATGATTTTCTATTAAAAAAAATATAAATAGAGTCAAATTTTATTAATTTAATAATGTAGCTACAAAAAACAAAATTGAAATTTATTTACAATTCGGGCAACTCGGGCAATTCAGGTTTAACTCGGGTCGGGCTTGGACAGGCAAACTCGAGTTACAATTCGGACTTCGGCGGTCCTGGGCAGATCTCAACACAACTTGGGTTGGACTTTGACAACCTCCCCACCCAACCGAACCCGCCCGAGTTGCACCCCTAGTGTATAATAATTATCTCACCATTTGGCTAGGATTAATAATTCAGTTGAACACTAAGGTGATGTTTGCTTTGAGGGATTGAGGAGTAAGATTGGACTATTAATTCATTCGAATTAATAGTTTATTGTTTGGTTTAAAATTTTTACACTGGAATATTAGTCCCTCCGAATTATTAGTCCAAAATCCATTGGACTATTGTGTCCCATGGGAGGTGGGACACAAATGAAGAGATAAGGAGGATATGGGATTACGTGGTGAAATGACTATTTTGACCCTATACTATTTAATTATGTATTATATTTAGTAAAATTTAATAAAATTTAAATGTCTCAATTTAAAAATAAAATAATTTTATTTAATTTTTGTTGATGTTTTATTTATTCAATTTTTTAAAATAATTTTTTATAAACGTTTTATTGATTTTGTATTTTAAAATTTTATTTATATTTTATTTAATTTCATTATTTAAATGTTAATAGATGTTTTATTTAATTTCATTGTTTAATTATTATTATTTTTAAAAACAAATTTATTTGTTAATAGATGTTTTATTTAATTTCATTGTTTAATCATTATTATTTTTAAAATCAAATTTATTTAAAATTTGAATTAAAAATAACATATAATTTTATTGATATTTTATTTATTTTATTTAAAAAAATAAATTTATTTAATTGTGTAATAAATAAAATAAAATAAAATTTTATTTAATCTAGTTAAAAATAATTAAAATATTAAAGATATGTTTAATGTTGCTATTACTTAGTAAATAATTAAAAATGATAAAATAGTCATTTACACATTTATCATTTTTCATAATATCTCAAACAAACATAGGATTCACATCCTATCAAATCAAATAGTCATTTCCTGACATCTAATCTCATGACTAAACAAACATAGGATACAAATCCAATCCAACCAAATAGTCCGAGGACAATGAATCCCAAGATTAATAGTTCGATGAATTTCAATCCCCTGTTATCCAGTCCGTCCAAATAAACACACCATAAAAGAATGAGGCCAACACTCTAATCTCCCATTCAAGTACCTTACATTAAAAACAAAATATATATATATATATATATACACATATAATTAAGTTAAATTTACAACGAATAGGAACAAGAGATCGAACTACATTTCAACTTAAATTTACTATGTTTCAAATTTCCAATTCAAGAACCGTGCATATCAAATAAAATATATATATATATATATATATATGTATATGATTAGATTAAATTTACGATGAATATGAACAAAAGATCCAACTACATTTCAACTTAAATTTAGTCTGTTTCAATTTTAAAGGGGGTGAATAATTATCTCACCATTTGGTTAGGATTAATAATTCAATTGAACACTAAACAAACGAGGTCAATATTTTAAATTTACTATGTTTCAACTTTCAAGGAGGTGGGTAATAATTACCTCACCATTTGATTAGGATTAATAATCCAGTTGAACGCTAAACCAATGAGGCCAACACTCTAATCTACCATTCGAGAGGGTGTGTACATAGGTCAAGAAGATAACGTGGTCATGTGCCCATCTAATCCAAGAGGGTGTGTAATAATTATCCCATGTCTTCTAATTCAGACTAAACTCTCAATTCTTGCAGAAATTATCACATGGGTCCGGAGGAGGGTGTGTAATAATTATCTCATGTCTTCTTATTCGAACTAAACTCTCAATTTTTGCAAAAATTATCACATGGATCAGGAAAACCACGTGGACATGTAGTCACTCAATGAAATCGTACCAATTCTCAAAAACAAATCTTACCTAGTGAAAAAATTACACATCCTGTAGCTATGATTAGGTCATGAAATTTTGAAGGGGTATCTCACATAAAGGATGGGCTTTCTAAGAAATCATTTTGCAAGAGGGTATGGAACATGAAGCAAAAGAGTCCCAATTTCTTTTTCTTCCACCATTCGCTGGTGTATGACCCAAGTGACTGCATTTTCTACAGAGACTTGACACCCTAAAAAAGGAAATTTTCACCAATTTGAAAGGTGTCTCTCACCCTACATTTGGATCTTATATTTGTAGAGACAAAAGAAAAATAAGCTAAAATAATTTCCTGAGTATGAGGGCATGCATGCCATAGAACCCACACGGCATAATTAATATTGATATCAAAGCATAATTAATCCTAAATACATCAGCTTGAAAAGATAGCTACCAAAACAAGTTAGAAGAAAGAATCTCACCAATCAACCGTTTGGAATAGTAAGCATAACTTTCTAGTTTCCAGTTTCCATCATACAAAGACAAACAAACAGATCCGGTTTTCCCCCCTCAATTTTTTCTCAATCTTGTCCAATGCCATAATGCCAAGCAAATGCAGTAATGGTTACAAAATCTATGTACCGGGTAAAATCAGTCTTCCTCTTGACTCCAGATCTTCACAGATTTGTCATTTCCGAGCGCACCGGAAGCAATCATGTTCTCGGTTGGGTGACACGAAACTGATATGACAGTATCAGTGTGGCCTTCCAATTTCTGAACTATTTTCCTCGTCTGAAGTTCCCACAAGTATACACAATTATCCTCAGAACCACTAACAATATACTTGCCGTTTGTCACCGAAAATGCCGACGAAATGCAGTACTTTGAATTCACATGACCCGTGTAAGTCTTCAGAAATTTACCAGTTGAGAAGTTCCAAAGCCTCTGTAGACACAAATAAGAAATCAAGAGAACACAACAGATGGCAGTGAACAGAAGCTACTGGAAGAAGAATGGGTGAATGCAAAACAACACAACAACAATGTGCAAATTCAGTTTTTTTAGGGGAATTTGGTCAAAGTTACTCTATTTCCTATATAATAATTAGTAAGCTAATTACTGCAAACTAAGTAATTGTTCCCAACAAAATGACATGGGAACTGGTAATTCCCAAGCAGGCAATCAGAAAAGGAGGAATTGACTAGTGCAACAAACCATGCACTATATGAGTCTGATGCAAACAGAGGTGCACTCATGTAACCAAAGAATACACCACGATAACTTTATTTAAAGGCCTATACACCCAATACGACAAAGATAGCCTATAACTTCTTATAAGTGAAGGGAATTGGTAATCCACGAAGTCCACAAAATTATCTGAGTTAGGTATAACCTCCCTTTAAATCCAACTGAACAGAATAGCCCCCAAAAAAGCTCTAAGCCTTTATAGAGGCTGTTCAGTTCCTTGGAAAATCGTCCTATTATACTCCCTCATACGAGCCACATCAAGCACAAAGGAACTAAACGTTAAACCCTTAACCTTTGCTTCTCCACCCTGCCTCCCTACCAGCTAAACAGAATGCCCACAACATATTTTTGGAAAAACCCAATCCATTCCAAACAAATCCAAACCGCACAGATCCCTAGACATGCCACAGCGAATCAACAAACGCCCTGTGACACTTGCAAAATAAGGAAACACCAATTAACAAAAAAATTGGGCCAATAAAAAGAATTCACCTCAAACCTCCCTTTCTTAACCACATCCCACCACCAAAAAACATAAAAAAAAATTCAAGACATCCTCTCACACAGCTACACTAAATCTTGCACATTCCTCCTCAACCCACATCCCTCAATACATGCCTACCCACACCCCTAGCATAATCTGCGACCAAGGCTTCTTTGACCATAGCAAGGAAAAAAATAGCAAGAAAAGCACTCTCCAAAACCACTTCACCATTCTATTACATTTTCAAAACTCTCACTTAGAGCATCTCCAGCAGCCTATGCATTTCACCAAAAATTGTACAATAGCCAGCCAATAATCATAAATTCCTTCTCCAGCAGCCTAGCTACTGTGAAGCCAAACCAACATTTTGCTACAGTACCTCGCTAGGAAAGACGAGGTACTGTGCACTAGCTCTGAATTTTTTTTATCCTTTTTTAATTCAAACTTTTGTTTTTAAGAATATTTTAATAGAAGATATTTAAATTATAATAATATTTTAACAAAAGATAGTTAAAGTAGATAGCCTGTTGGAGTGTATATTAAAAAACCAACTAGCTAAAATAGTAAAGTAAAATTTTGAATAGCTATTTTGACTATCATTGCTGGAGATGCTCTTAGTCCCCCTTAAAACTAACAAATTTAGAGAAATCATCCAAAACCTTCCAACTACTCTTCCAGAACCCTTTCTCATCAGACATTAGCACTGTTTGGTGTGACTTATTTTGGCCAACTTATAACTTCTAACTTTAGAAATGTTATTTTGGACTATTTGGTTGAATTTATTTCAGACAGCTTCTGATTCTACTAACTTATTTTAACTCAAAAAAACTAATTCTAAGAAACTGCTCCCCCCTTACTTCTGATTATCAGCTGCTGCTGTGGACTTGTTAATTTAAGATTATACTCTTAAATTTTTTTATTTTTTATTTTTTAAAAAATAGAAAAAGGCCCAAATGGATTATGGATTATTATTATTATTATTTTTACGAAAAATGTAGACAAGTAGTGAATAACATAAAATAAAAGTTAATTCAAAAAGCGATTTCACAACTTATTTAACAAGCACTACTCAGCAACTTAAATTTATAATCTAACAGTTATACCAAACAGATTAACAGCTTCTAATTAAAATTATAATTTATAATTTGTTAAGTTATAATCTATAATTTATTTTAAAAGTTACACCAAACAGAGCTATTGTCACATCCAAAAAGGTCCAATTACCACAAGAAATCCATCACCACTCTTCTCAAATATCTCTATTACTCACATAAGCAAATATTAACATCCCTTTCCTGAAAGAGCTTTATCAAAGATGTCTAACCTCCTTACCCCCAAAACCCACTCCCTAGTTGGGGTGCAAATCAAATCCCAATCAAACAAATAATATTTCAACTCCTCCCTAACACCACCCCATAGAAAGTCTCTCTGCGGTTTATCCAATAATAATCTATTTGCCACTCAAGCAGGAATCTTATGCAACATGGTAGGTACGTAGGTAGTCGTGCTCTTTACTAGAGCAAAACAATTCTTCAAAAAGTACACCCAAATGTTTGTGTAATAAACTTACACTTCCTAGCAACATAATCACTCTATTTAAAAACAAAAAATAAAAAATAAAACAGGAGTGTTGATTCTGAAGACAATTAACTCTCGTTAATTTTGTACGAACAATTAATTTGAAACATAAAACAAATCATCTTAAGCTGTATAGAATTTACTCACTCAGGAATTTAAACAAACGATTTTTTTATCAATTTTATAATGAAAATTTTCTTTCCGATCTATAAAAAAAAAAAAAAAAAAAAAAAACAGGGAAAGAAAATCAAAAAAAATAAAATAACAGAGATGCATATCCTAGAATGCTAAAAATCGCAACTTTTTTGAGCTAAAAGTAAGATTGATTCAAAATACTCACCAATGTATTATCCAAAGTCCCAACGAGAATGAACTTTCCATTCGGAGAAAACTTGACGAAGCTAACCGGAGGATTCTCATCGTCAATAAGCGTCTTCATACAATGGCCAGTCGATGCATCCCAAATCCGACACAACCCATCGTAACTGCTCGAAACGATCAACGAACCGTCGCGATTGAAATTGACGGCCGTAACGGGGTCGGAATGAGCAGGAAGCACCTTCAAGCACTTTCCAGCCTTGACATCCCAAACCCTAACAGTCTCGTCGAAGGAACCGGAGACGATCATGTTAGACTGGGGGTTATAGTTGACGCAGAATACGTAGTTGGTGTGTCCGGTTAGTGTTTTGAGGAGGGAGCCGGTGGAGAGGTCCCAGATGCGGAGGGTCTTGTCGTCGGAGGCGGTGGCGAGGTAGCGGGAATCGGAGGAGAAGGCGGTGTCGGAGATGCCTTGCTCGTGGCCTTGGAGTTCGTGGAGGGAGGAGGAGCCGGAGGAGGTGGTCGACCAGATGCGGGCGGTCTTGTCGGCGGAGGAGCTGGCGAGGAGGTTGCCGTCGTCGGAGAATTTGACGCTGGAGATTGCGCGTTTGTGACCTGTTAGGGTTTGTTTGAGTTTGTAGGGTCTGATGATTGGGTCTGACGACTCCATTGTTTTCTGATGATGATGATGATGATGGGGACTCGAAGTTTGCGAGTTGAGAGAACGGGGGTTTTGGGGGAGGAATTTGGGTTCTATTCTATCTGGGCATTTTTAGGCTAGGCTGTTCGCGGTCGGATCGGTTCAGTTTTGCTAGTCACATTGATCCGAACCAACAACTTCGATTTGAAAAAAAAACATTCGATGTTGACCGAAGACAGGTTCAAAACCATTCGAATCTGGGTCGGGTGCTAGACATTTCAATCGGAATTCGGTTCGAATCATACTGTGGTGGTGTTTGGTGTAGCTGTTAAAACAGATTATAGATTATAGCTTAACAGATTATAGATTATGACTTTAATCAGAAGCGGTTAATCTGTTTGGTATAGCTGTTGGATTATAGATTTAAGTTGCTGAGTAGTGTTTGTTAAATAAGCTGTGAAGTAGCTTTTTCAATTAATTTTTATTTTTTATTATTCACTATTTGTCTACATTTTTCATAAAAAATAATAATAATATTTAATAGTCCATTTGAGTCTTTTTCTATTTTTAAAAAAATAAAAAATAAAAAAATCTAAGAGTATAACCGTGAATTAACATGTCCACAGCAGAAGCTCATAATCAGAAGCAAGGGATGAGCAGCTTCTCAGAATCAGCTTTTTTGACTTAAAATAAGTTGTTAGAATCAGAAGCTGTTTGAAATAAGTTTAACCAAACAGTCCAAAATAACTTTTTAAAAGTCAGAAGCCATAAGTTGGCTTAAAAAAGCTGCACCAAACACCCCCTGTGTGTAATGCAATTGAATGTAATGGAGGAAAAATATATTAAAATGATTTTTTTATGTAATGTTAGAGCTCCAAATCCAAAGTGAATGAAGTTCGAAAAGCAACTTTGGCTTGGTTTTTTAAGAAATTGGGAATGGAAAAATGTTACACTCGCAAGATCTGGATTCAAACATTATATCAAGTAGGTTGGTATTTGATTATTTAATTTAATATTTAAATAAATTTGTTTGATAATTGTAATTTATGTTATTTAAAATTTTAAATATTTTTGCTAATTGAATTTATAATTATATATGTTTAAATATTAACATGTACGGTTATAATCTTACTATTATTACCATCGCAATTGCTATCACTATTGACATTGTCACTACCACTATCATCATTACCTCTATCTCATTTTTATCGTCATCGTCATCATCACCGCCGTCTCAGACCCTACTACTATTATTGTTACCATCACTACTATCACCACCATTTCTTACCACTACCATCTTCACTATTACCATCATGACTACTAACACTATCACCATTATGATGACTATTGACACAGCTGTCATACAATTGCCGTCATCATCACTATCATCATCAACTATCACCATCATAGCTATTGACAAAACTGCTACCACTGCCGTCACCGTCACTACCATCACAACTATTGACACAACCACCACCACCACCACCCCTACCCTTACTTGAGTTACCTCTAACATCACCACTACTACTATCATCGCCACAACTACAGCCACCACCTCCTCCACCATTGCAATATAAAATTTCGAAAATAAAATTTTAAAATAATAAATTTTAAATTTCATCAAGTACAAATCAAACAATTTATTTTAATTCAGCACTAAAATTTATACCAAACTATTTTTAATTTAAAAAATTAACATTCAATTTTTAACTTTTAATTTTGTCAAACACCACCATACTCACAGGGCTACCTTCTTGTGTAAATAAATTATACTTTCTGTTTATTTAGAATTCATTGCCAATCAATCTATTAATAATCTAATCTACTAATTTGTTCATCTAAGTTATATGCACTACACAAAAAATAATAATAATAAAAACAAATAAATAAAAATAATAAAGCTACTCTTTAGACAGTAATTGCATCCAACATATATAGAGTAGGAGTTCCACTGATGAACCAGAAGGTTCGAGTCCTTTCCATCCTCCCCCAAACCACACACCAAATCAGAAGCTGATGCTATTCAAAAAAGAGAGGTAGCACCAAGTACATATATGTACAAACAAACAGTGTCACTACATTCCTCCAGAAAAAACAGAAACAAAAATTAATAATAAAAATAAAAATGAATAGAAGATACTCAATTATTGACAAAGGTACTCAACACATATGTACATTTTGGAGATAAAAATCGGAAAGGGAATGAGACCTAAAAAAGGAATAAGAGAAATGTCGAAAAAGTCTATACAAAACTGGAGGGGTGAGAATCAAGGTTATTGGAACTGAATGATGGCCCTGAAGAAGTAACATATGAGGGGAGCACTTGGGGGACATCCGGGCGGTTCGAGGCTCTTGTGTTTGGAAAAATGTTGTCAAAACGTAACATGCTCGAACCTTGCTCTGATGGAGTGTATCCAAACAGATCTCGAGCTGATCCACCGTGGTTCATCATTATTCCTATGTATGAGTCTTCATTGCTACTCAATCCAACATTATTACCCATCATGTGTTGATGTCGCCTTGTAATATTACTCCACGCATCCTGTTCTCAAAAAATAAAAAATAAATAAAAGGGTTACCATATGAGGTCAGAATTGTTTCATAGATGTGTTTCTGCATGCATACCTTGTGATGCTGGGAGAAGTCAGCACTACAGGATGAAGTGAGTATGCAGCTTTCATGATATGGAGAAGACTGACTTCTCATCTGTGGATATGAATTGCGAAAATTAAGAAGGTTATCAGGAGTGCTGAACCACGAACTTGGCCTCCCACCACCAACCCAATGCCCACTACTACTTCTCAACCTCAAGTACGCTGAGGGGGAGTGATCATGAGCCATCAAGTAGTATGAACTATGACGCTCCTCCCTGCAAAATGTGTGAGCCAAGTCCCAATATCCCTTGGAAAACGAACCAGAACTGAAATCTTGATTTTGTGGAAAGATGCAAGATGATCTACCAAAGGACCGCCCAACACAAGGACAATAGCGTGAGGGTGTAAATCTTCCGTAACCCGGATTTAGTGATTGCCTCCTGTTTGAGTACTCCAAATGGGGGGTCGTTGTCCAGTCTTCTATAGTTATTCCTTGCTTAGCAGCAAGCTCCAATGTCTGCTTCTCATCAAGTCCTAAAGCCATGAGCAAATTCCAGAGGTTTCTGTGCACTTCCCTTTGGTTGTAAATGATTTGATCCCTCATTGCAACTTCAAACTGAAGCTCGGTATTAGCCATTCCCTATATTAATTGCAGTATAACAACCATCAGATATAGTAGCAATTTTACAGAATAAAAAAAGAGCATTATGAAAAATTAAAAAAGGCTAGCTTCACAATGTCTTTGAATGACTTAAGCTCCATATTAGGTGAATAAAATATGACTACATGCTGATCTGAGAGCAAACATCATGTTCCAATTAAAGACCAAAAAAGTAACAAAAAGGTTCAATATTCTTATTTGGGTGACAAGTATATGATTCCAGTATTATTTCTGATTCAGTAAAGTTCACTTTGCCCATTTTGGTTGGTGAGAGATTTAAGTACGAAGTTCAGATAGCAAAATTAATTTGTCTACATCAAGTTGACTAATTCCAATGCTTGAGTGTATTTGATACGGTTGAGTTAGTAACTAATTACCAGGAGCCTATATTGACTGAGAATGCGCAAGTAGGTTTTGTTGCCATTGTTACTAATGGCTTCGTCAATCATATCTTGTAGTTCACAGCGGCGCTTCTCATTTGCTTCAATTTCCTACAAGAAATAGAATTAGTAAGATAGTTTAAGCACGAAAAATGATAATTCCCAAGAGCCTAGAAAGAGAATGGAGCATCACCTGATGGTAATTGACACCAGCTTCATCATTATCACGAATGTTATCAAGAATGACTTGTCGCCTTCCTCTTAAAGCCTGAACCAAAGCTCCATCTTTCTCAATGGCCTGTGATGGAAGTAAAAGGTATGTTGTCACTAGAAAACTCAACCATAAATTAATTACTAATTACCAATACCAGTTTTCTAGGTTATGGGAAGCGAGCATATATATATATATATATAGATTGGAACAGATGCGTATTCTGCTATATTGGAAGTTGTACGCAAGAAAAGTTGGGGCAAGCACATGAAGAAAGAGAGAAGAAGGCGGAGGAGGAGGGGGAGTGAACAGCACAGACATTTTCAGTACTCCAAGCATGCTGTCCAGAAATAGCAAATACAACTTTTTTAAAAGGATCGGCAAACAACTGAAATTTTGGAAAGTTAAATCCTACAGAAAGGACAGTGCTGAAAAGAAAAAAAACAAAGGCAATCATCATCAAGACTTAAAAATGAAAATTGAGTTTAATTATATATGTAAGGACTTTAAAACAAGTATCAAGAGTGGGTGTAAATATAGTTGCTGGATTGATCGTATCCCCAAAATTTTCCTGCAGCTTACTTACCACACCCATGCTATATCTCATGTTACCACAAGTAGTCCAGTTAGGATAGCAGGGGTGAAGGCCAAAATGTACAATAATTGTAACATAAAATGTACTAAAATTAGAAACAGGTAAATGATCATGTATAATGGTTAAAGTGGCACCCTCTAACCTGTTCCTTTGCAATAGCATCATCAAGATGTTGGAGCTCAGTGCGGTTGCGAAGGTTTGTCTCCTCAAGCTCAAATAAAGCCTTCTGTAAGTTTATCCGTTCCTGAACATTTTCACTGATTTCTTGGCTCAATATGTTCAACCAAGACAGTTCATCATCCACTGTTTTTCCGGTTGGTTTGGCGCATAGTTGAGACTCCTTTTCAGCTAACTCTTTCTTTAACCGACAAACCTCTATCTGTGCAAACATGCAAGTTATCAACTACCACCACACAAAGTTTGCTACCTGAAGTAACACGTCAGATAATCTACCACACAGTTTACCTGAAGGTTATCAATCATGCGTTGGTAATCTGATACATGAGTGTCAATGGTGCCAATGTTTTTCTGCAAAGGATAGATATAGATTTAAAGAACGGGTAACCATTAAAGAACATATCAAACATGAATCTAGCCTAAAAAAGCATGTAAGTATTTCTTATTTTGTCAAAATATCCCTACTACGAAAACTCGCAAGTAAATATATGAAGGCTATTATAAAAATAAAAATGCAGTGAGATGTGAAGCATAGACAGATTGATTAGCCAATACAATAAGGAGCAGGAAACAACTATACGATGCCATTTTGATTAGCACAGGACCAACATATTCATACTCAGGTGCAACCCTATATGTGTCAGGATGCAATGATTGTACAACACCAACTGATCAACACTTAAGTGTTCAAAACAAAGAATAGATAAGTCCTAACACTAAGAATAGCAGCACCTGTTTCTGCCATGGCAGATAACAATACAACAAAGTCACACAACACATAGAGAAGAACTATGGCGTGTAATCATTCTCTGGACATATCACTACCCATCTGCCACTAAACTCTAGCAGTCACAATCTAGTGTCTGAGACACTTGCATCATTCTGTGTGACTGCTAGAGTTTTGACTTATATCATACAGCCATGCAAGTACAGCTTGCATGGACGTGAGTGGAGTTGTTCATAAAGATACACCAATATCAGGATTATTATTGTTACTACTCTTATTTAATTGAAATTTTCAACACCTTAGTGGAGAATGTTAAAATAAAATAAAATAGTTAAAATTAATTAGTGGTAATATAGTGTTGTTGTGTATATAAGATCATGATCTCACCTGGATGTGTGTCTTAATTTCCTTAGCCCGATCAGCATATTTTAAGGTATTAACAGTATGATGATACTGATTATCCGCAGGTGATATAGTAGCAACCATAACTGTTTGAGAATTACCACTTAGACCATCTTTAAGAATCCGTGTCAGTTTGCTGCAAAAATCTAGAAATTAGCCACAGTAGCAAGAAGAGAACTGTACCCTAATAGGTATCATTCCGGAAGGTACCTATTGCGGTAAGGGACGTAAGCTAGACCCTTCTTCTGTTGTTTTCCTAGGGCATTTATACAGTTTGCTAAAGCAAGAAGCGAACGATTAATATTAGAGCCATCTCGTAGCTTTTGGCCTCCACTATTTGTTTCAGAAGCTCGTTCACTGCAACCATAAATTGTCCAAGGTAACATTTCTGTAACTTTCACATGAAGAAGCAATTGGCCAGTTAGAGAAACTAGGAGAAAAGAAGTAAATTTACTGATGAGAATACCTGCCAGCAAGATCCACAAGTGCAAGTTTTCCTTTGATAACTTGACTTCGATACTTGCTTCTCTGTTTTCTTGTCACAGTAATCTCCAAAACTGCATGTGAGCTGTTTGCCAACATCATATCAGATCAGGAAGAAAGACCACACTATTCATGGAAAGGGAACCAGCGATTACTTTCACTCTTTTTGCAGGAGTATACAAAAAATGACAATGATAATGAAAACAATAGGAACAATATTTACGGGCTCAGCAATGACATTGATACATGGCATTGATTTGTACATGGTAATAGATTGAGTTGTCAAGTACGGTAACATGGCTTTAACTCTAAGGTTAGACATATCATAAGTTCTCACCCTCTACATAACAGCCATGAAAACACAACACAAGTACCTTTTTTTTTAAGAAAATTTTAAAATGAGACTGGCAATTTGTGGCCCTGGGGGTGGAGGATGATTGTGAAATAGGCATTTAGGAAAATAAAAATAAGATAAAATTGTAGAACCAGGGTGTTATCACAGGAAGATCACAAAGTGATTGTATGAGAATACAATAATGGTATATAAATGTAGCTAAATTGAACTGTGTGTTAATGAAATCACCAATAGCAGTAGCAGTCAAATTTGTTTAACCCATTAGCAAAGTAATTGGATGAGAGAACAAAAATATTATATTAATGTAGCCAAATCAGGATAAGTGTGTTACCAAATAAAAAATAAAAAGGTTGCAGCGATCTATCCCAAACATAAAAAATAAAAAGGTTGCAGCGATCTATCCAACAACAGTAGCCCCCAAACATAATTTGTACTAAAAGGTTGCAGTGATCTATCCCAATCTGTAGAACCACTGACCACTCACCGGGAGGATGTTTCATTAGCCTCCGTGCTTTCTGTTTTTCGTCTGCTGTTCCCCAAATTTAAAAGTTCAAGAATCCTATCAGCTGATTGAACCTGAATATAAACATAAAAACCATCAAAAACATAAGAAGTTTCCTACGTCCGGATCACAGGCTAAATATGATGAATCCAGACTAGAAAGCAAGTCAATAAAAAATAAATACACATCATTTAAATGTTAATGGGTTACATTTTGAAGAACAACTAGAACAGAAGTAGATCAAAACTTCAAAAAAAAAACTCATAATTCACAAGACAGTTATTAACAATTAAAACACATTTAAAAGCCGGGTAAAAATAAGTTGGTATTGTTGAAGATAAGATTATATTGTTAAAGATATCATAATATATGGAAGATATCAAAATATATGTAGATCCCATGATTTGTACTTATCATGATTTTTTGTATCTTTGATTTATTTCATTCCTTTAACTGAAGGGATTTGATTGTATCTCCCATTCTATATATATATGGTGTATCATGTAAACAAGCGTATTAAGTTGAGTGAATGAAAGATGTAGGCCACAGGGCTTTGTGTGTGTGGATGTAGGCCAAGATTGGCCAAACCACATCAAACCATTTTGTTATTTCTTTTATCTTTTTTGGTATCTATTATCTCTCCATATTCAACCTTATTGTCACATTACAAAATTCAACTGGTATTTGCAAAACACAAGAAATGGAGAATGAACAATCAACATTGGATTATATTACTGGGTAGTGGAACCAAGTGTAACAATTAAACTGTTCCTTTAAATGCTACTGTCTTGAATGTTTATGAATTTATTAAAAATAAAAATATTGCAGCAGAAGAAAAGTCATGAAAATGTAGGGACATGCAAAACCGATTGTCAATGAAAGATAGCACCACCTTTCACAAAAAATGACTATTTATTAAACAACGAAATTGTCACAGAAAAAATATGGAGCCCTAATTGCTTCCCATAAAAACGACAGTTCGTAAAATGCAGTGTCAGCAAAATATCAAAAACTTTGCTCACGAACCATCCAATTGTAAAATAGAGGCTAAACATCATTTAAATGATTTACTTCTTAACTAGTGCTAGTTTCAAATCAGTATTCTTTTGAAACAATAAGTTTGATGATATAATCCCTTGGAGACTAATGATATGGGCTAAAAGATTGGGCAGCTAATTTTTTGCCCAGAGATAGTTACAGTTTCTAAAACCCTAGACAAAGCTAGTTTGAATTGTATGATTATAATTGAAGTTAGTTTGAAATGTTCGCATGCATTATGCCAAGCAATGCTTGCACAAAAATATGATATACATGCATGCCTAATGCATGCACAAAAATATGATATACATGCATGCCAACTGATATGAAGAAAAGAATGAACCTTGATGCATCTAAGCCCAGCAACAACTATTCCTTGCTCTGGATCCTCCCTAAGTTCCAAATGACCCAAGGATTTTTCAAGCAGATCGTAGATAACCTGCACAAATCAAGAAAATAGATGTTACAATTTTTTTTCCCAAAAACAAGGGCACTCATAAATAGTAAAAATCAAAACTCCATAACGACTATGCACGACCCTACTTCATTGTAAACTTCAAGGTAGGAGCAAGAAACTTCGAAGCCATCAGAGCTATTGTCCTTCTCGATCAGATCAAAAATTGTATGCAAACTGAGAACCATGAGTCCAGGATCATGTTGAGTTCCAACCATTGTATATGTTTTACCACTGAAAATATAGAACAATGTTAGTGATGAAGATCATGGAAAGAAGAAAAAGAGCAAATCTGAAATTTCACATGAAGCACATTTGGGGTATCAAGAATTAAAGATTTGGAATAATTGAGTCTTCATGTCATTATAGTAGATTTTAGTAATTAAGAGTATAATGGTAATTCCAATAATTGTTGGACATGGGTTGTAGGGGTCACCCATGGGTTTTATTTTAGGTCCAGTTATTGAATAGATTATTATATAGGGGTTTTATTATGTGTAAAATAATCTTAATAGTCAAAAGTCCGAATTTCCTATTTTGATATCGAAATAGAATTAGAAATCATTAAAGTTTCCTATTATGATTGAAGTAGAATTTGAAGTCATAGTTGGTCTAGAATATTAATAGTTGCTAAATATTTTTAGTTTTTAAATTTGAGTAATAGTCCTTATAGAATTAGGAGAGTCTTTAGCCTATAAATATGTGTAATCTCAATGATTCAATAGCAGAGTTAATATTATGAAAATTTGAGATTGTGTTTGTGTGATTGGCCTATCCCTTGCGAGGGTAAAGCACTTCTCTCTCTCTCTCTCTCTCTCTCTCTCTTCTTCTTCTTCTTCTTCTTCTATCCAGCAAAGTTACTGTTCACAGTGCTTAGAACAACCACCCAACTATCCCTAAACACTTGTGTTTTCATTGCCAAAACCCTACACCCTTCTATAAACCCTTAAACTCCTATTTGTTAAAATACTTTTACAGTCACAAAATCCCACCAAATCTAGCCTTACAAGTCTACTGTTACTGCTGCCAGTATACTTAACCCGGGCTCACTACTTGCAAGAAAGTAATCTCTACTCGTCCTACATCAGTTGGATTATGCTAGCGAATGATTCAACTAAAGGGAATTGCAAATCAGCACAAAGAATGATAACATAATGTTCCAAATTACATGTTAGCTGAGACTCCTATCAGATCAATAACAGCATATGATTAAAGCATACCATGTGATACTGATTTCCAATTTCTTCATCAGAAGGTTGACTGGAAACAAAATATATCAGTTTGCTACTCCTTTGTAGTACCTTATCCCAGAGTAATCTGATCAGTAACATGAACAATAATCCACTGTGCATTCTAGAAATTTTGATGTCTTTGTTTCAAGCACACAGCTTCTTTCTAGCTCTATCAAACATGCAAAGCCTCTACAGTACCTTTTGAACTAACGATAATTCACTCTTCAGACAAGTAATACTTACCAGACAACTTGGAAAACATAAGACATAATTCATTATGGAATTAATAAACACAACAAATCATCACTTCTCATGCCACAAATAAATGCACAGGCCAGAAAACTACATTATCAGTTCTTATGCAGTAATGATATTAATCAGCTGTTGGGCTGATAGAAGTTTCAAGGCTATGGGCTCCATGGTTGACAGTTTCAAATCCCAGAAGTGCTGATTACTGAAACAAGTGAATAAACAAAAAATTAAAATATTTTTAAAAATATTCACACAGGCCATGCCCTCCTTTTTATTCTAAGTTTCGCTATTAATAGGAAAGAAAAAGGAAAATTTAGCCAATACCCCTCCATTAAACCCTTGTTTGGTGAAAACGACAGCCTAATTTAATTTGCTTCATAAACCTACTAAAGAGAAAATATATAATTGAGTAAGGACAAAGTAAAATATCTTCTTTTTTTTTCCTTAGACAATATTACCAAAGTAATATGCTACTGTGAGACAAACTAACATTTTACTGCCAAACAGAATAGCTTTCAAATAGAGTAACATGTTACTGTAAAACAGAGTAACATGTTACTGTTACTATTTACATCAATTTCGGCGGTAATAATTTTTTTTTTTTAAAGAATTTCATAGTCAATATGGATCTTATTTGATAGATCTTGACGAAAGAATTTTAAAAATACTAATTTTATTAAAAACCGACATCTACATCAAAAGTTATATTATTTTAAAGTTTAATATTTTGATAATAATGATATATGTTGGACTTTTTAAGAAAAACTTTTTGTACTTGTCCTTAATGCATTAAAGTTTTATTATGAGGGAACTTTGACCAAATCCTCCATAGAAAAATGTTAAGAAGCAGAGAGCCTCTATGATAGGCTCTGGAATTTGAACACATGTGAAGTAATAGTTGCCCCTTGCCAAGTTAGGACACCAAGGACAAGTGCAAGCCTAACTGCAACGCTCTGTCTATTGAATTGTAGGTTAAGAAGCATGAACACTTGTAGAAAAGTAGCGTGTCCATGTCGGATACCAATACTCATCCAGACACTTCCAACACATGAGGGGACACGCATCCAAACATGTCTTATTATTTTAAACTTTTTAGATTCGGACACACGACATGCTACAAACCCTCAGGAAACACACGTGTCCATCGCCTAGACATGCATGAAACACTACAAGTTTAAACAAAATAACTTGGGATCCAATGATTAAAAAACACAACATAGATTTATACCTATTAATCCCTCCTCCTTAAAACTTGATAAATTAGTGTTATGTTATTTTATTTTATTTTTTTATAATATTATCTTTGAATAAAGTATTCATACATTATGAGATATAACAAATGCATAAATAGAAATATTTTTTTTTTTTGCATGTTTGTCACATGTGATATCCAGCATTTTTTATAAATTATCATGTCGGCGTGTGTGGACACTAAAATTTTTCAGGTGCTTAATTAACGCCCAATCAATCAACACAAATTAAATGCCCTTGATTGATCAAAGTCAAAATATTCAAAATTTATAAGAAATGTGGGTCCCACCAAAATTATGGGCATTGATCCATTTCCAAATTTAAACATACAATAAAGAAAGGTTGACCTATTATACTAATCTTCAAATGATTTAGGATATACCAATCTTCAAATGATTTAGGATCTGATAATTTCTCTAATCATACCATGTCATAGTAAATATTAGACATTAAAAAATTCCAAGGACGGAACAAAGTATATCATTTACCGAAACCAGTCAAGCAACCACTTGGATGAGGACAACCTTGGACAGCCAAACAATACTAACATAGGAATAGGAAAAGCTATATACAAAAAATAATAAACATTAACAAAATATGCCCAATAAAAAATATAAAAAAGAAACACAGATCCCCCTCAAAAAACTTCGTTTTAGCTATAATTATGCTTCCTATATTAGACATGAAATTCCAATTAGCAAATGAATAAAAATGATTTTACAAAATAAGAAAAAATAACTCAAATAGAGTTTTTACTTTTTTGGGCACCAGAAGAGAGCTAGTTCATTTTTACCCAACCTCAACAGTTTTGGGAAAGAATAATATATTTCTCATATACCTTCCAGTTGCTCCATATGCAAATACAGTTGCATTGAGACCTTGAACAACCCCAGCAATTACAGAAGATATACTTCTCTTGTAGACATCCTGTATGAAGGTGATATTGTTAGACTTGTTAGCCATAAAACAAAACAAAAACAATCTTCAAATAGCAGATAAATCCTCTATGATCACTTCTATATTCCTAACAGCCCTGAGGCCAAATAGAAGCAACGGAAAAAGAAGTAACAAGAGGGGTAGGAAATTCCAATCCAACTTCTTTAGCCACTTTCACATCTATCATATTCAGGCAAGCTTTCTTCATGGTGGAGCATTTAGCAATGCCAGCAGCCTAGTCAGGGAGCAGTAGCAGCCCAGTGGGGAGCAGTAACAGTGGCAAGTGAAGTAAGTTCATAGGGCGGACTGGTAGTTGTGTCGCTTGGGCAGATCAAAGAGTTCATTCTACTCAGGAAGATGAGCTTGCCGAGTTTCACTAGCTGAACGTAGCCCGTGGAAATGTAAACGAACAAGGGGGACAGTTGGTATGGTCTACAGCTACTACAACACCAAACGCTAATATAAATTTTTCCACCGCTTGAGTTCCATAAATCTAAAAGTGACTTGAATGCATTAAATTTGAATGTACTGAACGTAAAATCATGATGATTGTAATTCTTAATGAATTTAAGATTTTGAGGACCTCATCTAAAAGATTACACAAACTGTAGTTTGATGCAAAGGTTGAAAATGCAGCTGCAAAACATTATTGGAACTCTTCCATATTCTTGTGAGGAGCTAACCGTTGGAAATGGTTTGGGAAAAAACAGATTTTTCCTAAATTTTGGTCTATTCTTGAAGCGGGACCCATGAGCCAAAGTTGACGGGTCTATGTGGCAACGCGTTATTTGCCGCGTGACGATTCACTTCGTATATTTAGTTGCTCAAAACTATTATCGGATGAATGAGAAATCAATGCCAAGTGAGCTCCATGGAAATGGTGTTTTGATGAGGTTTCCATAAAGGATGAAGGAAAATGCTTGTCCCACATTGCTTGGGTGGGCAAACATCGTATGGGTTTATAAATCTTGAGTTTGCATCTTAGAAAGGGGCCCAAGGGCACCCAAGTTTTGTGGAGGGGGAAGTTATGGGTAAAGTGGGCCTTAACCCATTTGACCCAAAAACCACCACACGCACGCCCCGCCGCCTAGGCCTTGGGCACGGGTGCAAGGTGTGAGGTTAGGTTGGGCTTCTTGTGATCTAGCCCAGTGCTTATCTTTTGGGGCGAAAAACATTTGAATTTTATTTTTTCTAAATTTATTTCTTACTGTTTTGGAATTTAAATTTCTATTTGAAATTCAAAATAAATTCCAAAATGAACCCAATGTTTCTGAACATTGGCAATTTGGTCCAACACACCTTTCCAGCTTTTCCCCCAACCCGAACTGGTGCCATGTCTGTTAATCTTGTCCTGAACAGCCACAAATTCTTCTATAAATAGGCAGTCCTCCATTTGTTCATTCCATTCAATTTTCATTCTTCTTTTTCTCTTGATTTTTTTGCATTTCCTTTGTAAGAGAGAGTATATACAATGAGTGTATTCGTTGAACAATTAGTGTGTAGTGCTGCTACTGATTGTTGCCAATCATTTTATCCTGAGAGAGAGACGTCCATATTCTGAAAGCACCGTGGAGAGGACGAATTTGTCTTAAGGAAATAGTGTGTAACGCTGGACTTGATCATTTTTCTGGAAAAATAATACTGTAAGTATTTTGGTTTAATTTTTCTAGTTTAATTTTTTTTTTTCTTTCCTAATTCTATTTTGTTTCTGTAATAGAACAGTTTCTGTTTTTTTTTATTTTTTTTTCAGTCTGCTTCGGTGTTTCGTACTTGAACAGAATTTCTTCTTTCTTAATGTTTTCTTCGAATACAGTGATGCTTAACTAACAATCTTAAGACAGGCTTTTCTTTTTAAGACTAATTTTCATTGTATTCAAAATTCTGATTTTATTTCAAATCAATATTTTATCTTCAGGTTTTTGTAACTAGAAAATTGTATTAATTTTAATTTGGCTTTCTGATTTTTGTATTGAAACTGGTACACTAAATCCGGTTGCTACACCAACACTGGCTATTATTCAAAACCCTATTCAAGTTCCTGTGGTTCCTATGAATCATGGAAAGAAACTAGAAAAATTTAATGGTATAGAGTTTAAGATATGGCAACAAAAGATGTTATATCTTACAACTCTTAATCCTGCCCAATTTCTCCATGAAGATGCTCCAGTACTTAAAGAGGATGAAAGTGATCGACAAATTATTGCCGCAGTGGATGCTTGGAAGCACTCTGATTTTCTATGCAGTAATTACATCCTGAATGGCCTAGACAATATGTTGTATAATGTTTATAGTCCTCTTAAAATAGCAAAAGAATTGTGAGATTCTTTAGAGAAAAAATACAAGACAAAGGATGCAGACACGAAAAAATTCGTTGTTGGTAAATTTCTGGACTTTGTAATGATTGACTCTAAGACGGTTATTAGCCAAGTGCAAAGTCTCCAACTTATCTTGCATGATATTCATGCAGAAGGTATGTCTCTCAGCGAATCATTCCAAGTTGTTGCAATTGTGGAAAAATTACCACCTGCTTGGAAAGAGTTCAAGAACAGCCTTAAGCATAAGCGCAAAGAGATGACATTGGAAGAACTCATTGTCTGACTGAGCATTGAAGAGGATAACCAGAATGCTGAAAAGAGGAGTGGTAAAAATCCCATTGAGTCTAAGGCTAATGTAGTGGAACAAGTGCACAAACTACTTAACAACAAAAGGAAGTATGCTGGAGATGGTCTTAAATAAGGTGACAACAATGGCAATAAAAAGTTCAAAGAAAAATGCTATAACTGTGGCAAGACTGAACATCGTGCCTCTTATTGCTAACACCCAAGAAGAATCACGAAAGTACAAGCAAAAAGACTATCAATCAAGCCTGTGTGACAGAACTAGATTGCATCTCTGATGGGATAAATGACATCAATCTCTCTGTAGTGGTGTCTGAAGCTAATTTGGTTGAAAATCCCAAGGAGTGGTGGGTCGACACTGGGACAACTAGCCACATTTGCGCGGATAAGATGTTCACTTCATATAGTGAGGCTACCAATGGGGAACAACTGTTCATAGGAAATTCTTCTACTTCTACCGTGGCTAGACAAGGAAAGGTGATTTTGAAAATGACCTTGGGGAAGGACCTTACTCTCAACAACGTGCTGCATGCATCAGATATTCGCAAGAATTTAGTTTTGGGGTCTTTGTTGAATAAAAATGATTTTAGACTTGTATTTGAGTTTGATAAATTTATACTAACTAAGAGTGGCATGTATGTGGATAAAAAGTACATGAGCGATGGGCTCTTTAAAATGAATGTAATGACTATTGTACCAATTTTTGCTATTAATAAGATTAACACAGCTTCTGTTTATATTCTTGAGTCTTATTTATGGCCTGGTAGATTAGGACATGTGAATTTTGATCCTTTGCATAAACTTATTGGTTTGGATTATATACCAAAATTTCAAATTGATCCTAATTATAAATGTGAAGTATGTGTAGAAACGAAACTAACTAAGGTGTCATTTAAATCGATAGAAAGAAAAACTAAATCTCTAGAATTAATTCATTATGATGTATGTGATCTTAAATTTGTTCAAACTAGAGGGGGCAAAAAGTATTTCATAACATTTATTGATGATTGCACAAGATATTGTTATGTATACTTAGAAATGAAGACGAAGCCTTAGAAATGTTTAAAAGTTACAAAACCGAAGTTGAAAATCAACTAGGTAAAACTATTAAAATGGTTAGAAGTGATAGGTGTGGTGAATATGATGAATCTTTAAATGAATTTTGTGTACAACATGGCATTATTCATCAAACTACATCACCATATTCTCCTCAGCAAAATGGAAATGCGAAAAGGAAGAATAGAACCCTTAAAAAAATGATGAATGACATGTTACTAAGTTCAGACTTACCACAGAACTTATGGGGGAAAACAATATTATCTGCTAATTATGTTATTAACATAATACCCCACAAGAAAACTAATAACACTCCTTATAAGCTGTAGAAAGGTTGACTGCCTTCCTACAAATATTTTGAAGTGTGGAGGTGTGTTAAAATATATCCTCACCTACCACCTCCACTCAACTCACCTACCACACACACTCACCTACTACCCAAACCCTCTCCTATATAATGCCACTCTGATTTGTAATACAACAATCAATTGTAATATATCTACATAAATCAATAATACATAAATTCTTACAAGGTGTCTAGCAAAGGTAGAAGTTTCTATTCTTAAAAAGACTAAAATAGGACCAAAAACAGTTGATTGCATGTTTATTGGTTATGCACATAATAGTAGTGCATATCGGTTTCTGACTCATAAGTCAAAAATACCTGATATACATGTACATACTATTATAGAGTCTAGGAATGTTGTATTCTTTGAACATGTTTTTCCTCATAAGAAATGACAGGAATTAAATTCACAGAAAATAACTTATGATTCTACACAAAATCAGGATACTATTGACAATCAAGAGCAACAGACTAGTATTGGTCATGACCAACAAGAAATAACTGATGATGAACCAAGACGCAGTAAGAAAGTGAGAACATCAAAATCCTTTGGTCCAAATTTTCTAACATACCTATTAAAAAATGAGCCTCGAAGTTTTAAGGAAGCAATGTCGGGTCTTGAAGCACCATTATGGAAAGAGGCTGTTAATAGTGAAATTGAATCCATCATGTAAAATCACACATGGGAGTTGGTTAGATCTTCCACCCGGTTGTAAACCTCTTAGGTATAAATGGATATTTAAAAAAAAAAAAAAAAAAAAAAGAGCAAACGATTCAATAGACAAGTATAAAACAAGACTTGCGGTAAAAGGTTACAGACAAAAGGAAGGTCTGAACTATTTTGACACTTACTCTCCTGTAACAAGGATCACATCCTTTCACATGCTTATTGCTATAGCAACATTATATAATCTTAAGATACATCAAACAAATGTTAAGACAGTTTTCTTAAATGGGGATTTACATAAAGAAATCTACATAAAACAATCCGAAGGGTTTGTAGTACCAGGAAAGGAAAGAAAGTGTGTCGGCTTGTAAAATCTCTCTATAGATTAAAACAAACTCCTAAGCAATGGCATGAGAAATTTGATCATGCTATGCCAACTCATGGATTTAAGATAAACAAGTATGACAAATGTGTCTATGTTAAAAACACTAACAAAAGGTAAGTCGTAGTTTGTCTTTATGTGGATAACATGTTCATAATTGGTAGAAGTCATAATATGATCAAATCAACCAAGCAAATACTAAACAAAATGTTTGACATGAAAGATATGAGAGTAGCAGATGTTATTCTAGGAATGAAAATTACTAAAATATCTGACGGATATGCATTGTCTATCACATTATATTGAGAAAATACTTGGTAAATACATCAAGGATGATGTAAATGTGGCAAGAATACCTCTAGATGTCAATCTTTATTTGTCAAAAAATAGAGGTGATGGGATGTCCCAGTTAAAATGCTCCCAGATCATTAGAAGCCTAATTTACCTAATGAATTGCACACGTCTTGATATAGCATATGCTGTCAGTAAGTTAAGTAGGTATACTAGTAACCCCGGAGAAGATCACTAGAAAGCAATGATTCAGGTTCTTAGGTATCTAAGATTTACCCGTGATCATGGCTTGAACTTTACTCAATATCCAGTAGTACTCGAAGGCTATTGTGATGCCAATTGGATATCGAATACTAAAGATTCAAAATCCACTAGTGTTATGTCTTTACTCTAGGAGGTGCAGCTGTTTCTTGGAAATCCTCGAAGCAAACATGCATTGCACGGTCTACAATAGAATCTGAGCTCATACCTTTAGATAAAGCAAGAGAAGAAGCAGAATGGCATCGCCATTTCTTAGAAGACATTCCAATGTGGCCAAAACCTATGCCATCCATTTGCATTCATTGTGATAGTTATGCAATAGGAAAGGCACAGAATCATATGTATAACAGTAAGTCACGACATATTTATCATCAACATAATACTGTAAGACAATTGCTCTCAAATGGTATAGTCTCAATAGATAATATAAAGTCTAACCATAATATCGCGGATCTGTTAACAAAAGGTTTAGCAAAAGAGCAAGTGTATAATTCATCAAAGGGAATGGGATTAAAGCCTATTACATAAGAGTCATCATAATGGTAACCCTACTTAGATGACTGGAGATCCTAAGAACTAAGTTCAAATGGACAACTAAGTTATATGTGGCTTGCCAGAAATCACCAAGGGATTAAATTCCCTATCTATTCCTATGATGAGAGTGATATCTACAACATGTGTTATATTCAGGAGTTTAAGAGTAAACTTTACTTTTAATGATTACTTATATCTTGATTAAGGAATAAAAATCAAGATGAGTATGAGGCATACTAACAATAAGAATCACTTATATGAGTGTCGAACTAGGGCCTGTTCTATGAGAATAAAGAGGCTAAACTCTCTAGAAGACTCATGAATAACCAGGTACGTTCAGGGCCAAAATGAACACAACCGTGACAACCACGATGTGTCAAAAGATATTTTGTGTGAAATCTATTGTCTTGGCTTACACAAACGGCTAAACAATTCAAGGCATCACGTCCATTAGTTAGCTAGTAAGTCCAATAGATTATCACTAGAGAAGATTCAAAGCCAAAAGCTACTTGTCTAGATACACGATATTTTCAATTTATACTCTCTTGACAATTCTGCATATTGTTGCATTTCCGTTGTCATCAAATTTCATACATATGGGGGATTGTTGGAAGTGGTTTGGGAAAAAATAAATTTTTCCTAAACTTTGGTCTATTTTTAAAGTGGGACCCATTCACCAAAGTTGGCGGGTTTATGTGGCAACGTGTTATTTGATGCGTCATGATCCACTTCATACATTTGTTTGCTCAAAACCGTTATCGGGTGAATAAGAAATCGATACCAAAGTGAGCTCCATGGAAATGATGTTTTGGTGAGGTTTCCATAAACGATGAAGGAAAAGGCTTGTCCCACATTGCTCGGGTGGGCAAACATGATATGGGTTTATAAACCTTAAGTTTGCATCTTGGGGAGGGACCCAAGGGGCACCCAAGTTTTATAGTGGGAGAGGTTATGGATAAAGTGAGCTTTGACCCATTGGATCCAAAAACCACAACACACGCGTGTGCCGCCGCCTGGACCGGGCCTGGCCCTGGCCTTGGGCGCGGGTGCGAGGTGTGAGGTTGGGTTCAACTTCTTGTGGTCCAGCCCAACAGTGCTTTTCTTTTTGGGCCAAAAACATTTTATTTTTTCTAAATTAAATTCTTATCGTTTTATAATTTAAATTTCTATTTGAAATTCAAAATAAATTCTGAAATGACCCCAACGTTTCTGAACGTTGGTAGTTTGGTCCAACGCCCCTTTCTAGCTTTCTCTTCTAACCCAAACAGGTTCCATGCTTGTTCAATCCTGTCCCAAACAGTCACCAATTCTTCTATAAATAGGCGGTCCTCCATTTGTTCATTCCATCAATTTTCGTCCTTTTTGTCTACATTTTTCTGCATTTCCTTTGTACGAAAGAGTATATACACTGAGTGTGTTCATTGAACAATTAGTGTGTAGTGCTACTACCAATTGTTGCCAATCATTTTATCTTGGAAGAGAGACATCCAAATTCTGACCGTGGAAAAGACGAATCTGTCTTAAGGAAACAGTATGTAACACTGGACTTGATCATTTTTCTAAAAAAATAATAGTGTAAGTATTGTGGTTTAATTTTTCTGGTTTAATATTTTTTTTTCCTTTCCAGATTCTGTTTTGTTTCTATAATAGAACAGTTTCTATTTTTCTCCATTTTTTTCAGTCTGTTTCGGTGTTTCGTACTTGAACATAATTTCTTCTTTCTTAATCTTTTCTTTGAATGCAGTGAAGCTTAACTAACACTAACTGGGTAAGGAATAGGGGTAGTAGACCAAGGAATCTCTGGCCAAAAAGAATGAACCAACCAGTCCACAATCCTTCCACTAATACTATGACTTAGTCATTTGTTTGTTGCTTTACATCATCAGAACAAAACAGGGTGCCATAGCTGAATGCATCAAAAAGGTTAAGAAAAAAACCCAGTTGTGATCATTTCTCTATCCTCTCCTTTTATTTTGAAGAAGCAACATAGCATTATTAGAAAAAGAGGCACACTTGAAAGCACAAAAAAGGATAAGCTTCATGAATAATAAAAACAACAATAGAAACTACATACTGAATTAGTAGACTCAGGGCCGAATGCATAATCAAAAGAATACTTCCGCTCTTTCGTCCGATTTTGTATGCGATCAAGGTAGTACTTTGATAGGTCAGGATCCAAAATAAGCACCTCCTACAAATGCCATTGTCACACATTACACAAATTTCATTTTCCCAAAGACAAATAATAGCTCTTATTTCACAAAACACCAAAACAAAGTTCATAGACTAGTAGAAAAGTGTTCCAACCTGATCATTGCTCACACGAACTATATCACGACCACGTTCCCTCTCCCTTACCGGCCTACATTTTACCGCAACCTAAAGCCAATAATTCAGGAGATCACAATCAGAGAAAAAACATGAAAATGCAACAAAAATCACATAAAGCAGAAAGAGAAACTCAGGACTAACCGTAAGGGTAGTGGTTTTCTTGGTTACCGGAGCTCTGATGCTTGGCATGTTTGATCACGCATTCGTTGCCGATAAATCACCAAATTAAAGTAAAAATTCGAATCCTGAGCTTCTTCAAATTGCATTATCAGCCAAAAAAAATTCAAAAACAAGACACAAATTTCTTTTACTCCATTCACATCCCGATGCATATATATATATATATATATATCCACAGACGCGGCTAATAAATCACACAACTCGCACACACAAAAAAAAACAAAAAACAAAAAACAAAAAACAAAAAAAAGTCAAAAGCTTCACTTCCTCGACTAAAAACTACAATGAAACCCTAGACCTAAGACTAAGCCCAATGAATTTAACATTCTACGACAACGTAACATCAACATTGTCACGGCAGTCCAAATCTTCGTTTCCTAGAACCACATTGCTCAGATGCGTCAACAAAACGAATCGTTGAACTCAAAATCCCTCATTTTCTTTTTCAGCTGACAAATTCATGAAGCGAGCTCTCAAATGTGAGACAGAGAGCGAGAGAGAGAGAGAGAGAGAGAGAGAGAGATTAGAATTGGAAACTTGAATGGTTCAGGGGGTCTGGCCTGCTCTGGTCTGGTGCACTGGCTATGGAATTAATAAAAGACATTTACGTTGTATAAATTAATTAAGTAATTAATTAGCCTCGTTTGGAACAGACTAATTTAGTAATTTTTTGGCTATTTGACTAAAAATATAGGTCAAAAAAACTTGTATGTTTGGGATGAATTTTTGGCTAATTACGAAAAGATGTGCAAAAAATAGAGAGAAAAGATAATCTTTGACTTTTTGGTATGGGATGTTGGCTTTTTGGCTAATTTAGTAACTTTTTGACTAATTGACTAAAATAGCCTCTTGTCAAACGAGGCCTTAGTACTTTTTAAAAAAAATTTGAAGCAAAAGACGAGGAGAAATTATTGATGGATTCTGAGCACCATCCAAGATATTGTGATTAGTTAAAAAAAAAAAAAAAAAAAAAAAAAGAGTATAATTTATAATTTTATATGAAGTAATTGAAGAATAATAAAGAAAATAATATATTATAAGAAAAATGCTTGGGAGCACTAATTAGTGCTCCCACTAATTAGGTGACAGTGGGCCCCGCCATTAATGATGTGATGTTTTGGTCTTGAAAAATGTTTGGGAGCACTAATTAGTGCTCCCACTAATTAGGTGGCAGTGGGTCCCGTCATGAATGATGTGATGTTTTGGTCTTGGAGTTGTAATTTTTTTTTTATTTTTTTATTTTTTTAATGCATTAGTGCTATTAGTGGTGATGTTTTTAGTGGGATGAATCATTGTTGTTTGGTCTTAGAGTTGTGTTTTTTTTGTTTTTTTTTACTTTTTTAATGCATTAGTGCTATTAGTGGTGATATTTTTAGTGGGATGAATCATTGTTGATATTATAATTGATGAAAAATACTAGAGTAATGATTCATCCCCCCTTTTTCCCTACCCCCTTGACCCCCTCTTTCTCTCATTGGTTATCTTTTCTTTTTCTTTTTCTTTTTTTTCCTGCTCCTCCAATCACCCACTGCCACGTGGCAAAGGAGGTGAGGGGGTGACCCCCAAAAGGGGGTCCCAAGCATTATCATCTCTAACGGTTCACCGAACCTTTATCAGATTTAAAATTTGGTGAAAAAGTCACTTTTTGGAGCTTTAATGGTTTCAGCAAATTGGCATCAAAATGAGAATGGAACAAAAAATTCATCAAAGTGAGAACAGGCTTCAGATTTCACCATTTTACTGTGCATGACCGTTGGGGGAGACCAACCGGTCAACCAGCCGGTTGCGCTGCCAGTTGACCAACCGGTCGATCAGTTTCCTTTCAAATAGGTAGGTTCAAACAGGTCGAAAGGTTCAAACAAGTTTAAAAAAAAATTAGACTTATCGGTCGACCGGCCGGTTGACCAACCGGTCCCTCAATTCTACATATATTTTGTTCGACAGGTTTGATGTTCACCGTTGGAGGAAGCTGTATCAAATTAAAAGAACAATTTATTTTTTACTCAGATTTAGTGAAAATAAATAAATGAATAAATGATTGGAAATGCTCTAACACGGAAAGTTGAGAAGTACCAAATAATTTTTCAGAAACGGGTGAGTCTATGGGAGGAACTTGGGAGAGAGGGAGGTGGAGAGATGATCTGGGCCGTTGATTTGTATTGGTATGGGAATCAGGTAAGAGCGTATTTGGATTTTGTGGGAGAGATTTCTAGCCTTTTTGGTGATTGCTTTTTTTAACTTTTTGTGTCCGAAAATGACGTTTTACCTTTTTAACAACTGAACTAACAAAGCTGAATCTGATGGGTATGCGATGTGCTTTGGTTGATGATGATACGAAAGCGATCCACCAACGTTGTAAAAAGATGATTACTATAGACTCTATAGCTGTTTTTACCAGTATACATACATTGCTGTTCTGTATCTTATTTTTTTCACTTTTATTTCAAAAATAACCTTATAACCATCACATTATTTATATGTTATGATGTGTTTATTATGTTTCTGGTATTAATACATCCTACCACTTGTTTATATTTTTGATATTGTACTTGACAATTAAATTAGCACACTACATTTGATTTCAACATTCCTCTTGTTTCAATGATTGAAGAAAAATATTGTGCTTGACAATTAAATAACCTTATAAATAGATTTTTATTGTAACATTCCTCTTGTTTCAATTATTGAAGAAAAATATTGAATTACATTTGATTTGATTTTTTTTTAATTATAGGAAACTTTCTGAAAAGATTTAGCAGTGTTCAAAATGGTTATAATTTTTTTACAAAAATAGTTTAACTATTTCAAGTGTTTTTTATTAATATTCTTTAAGGCATTCATCACCAAGATTTTTTTTAATCATTTAGCAAAGTCATTTTCATGACAACTAAACCTGTTTTTGTTCCTTTAATTTTCTTTATTTCTAAGTAAATTACATCAAGTTTTTCCCCCTTACAAAAATTACAATTACCTTCACAGTATTGACCAAATTATATTGATGTCTCCTACATTAATGGCAACTTTAATGGTGTTAATTAAAAGTAATGTTAAGCATCATGAAATGTTTTATAAAAAAATTTCATCATTTGATTATTATGTGACGTTTTATTTTGTATGTAATCTAAGGGTGAAAAATCTTTATAAAACTTTCATAATATTTCTTTCATGATACCTAACATTACTCGTTAAGGATGAAAAATATTTTGTGAAGATGATTATGAAAGATTTTTAACCCTTTGATTATATATCCAATAAGTTATAATATACAATATAAAGATAGAGATTTTTTTATGACTATCCTCATAAAGCATTTTTTATGAAAGTGATACATGAATATATATAGCAAAAAAATCTATTGGGTCATGTTTTTATTTTCAAAAACTTTAAAATGATGAATAAAAAATATGTGAAAAAGTTAAATAGTGTTTTAAATTTAACAATATATATATATATATATATATATTCTCTTTATTTTCCTATTTCTTGTATTCGAAAGACACTTGTTAGCAACAGGCTTGTATCAAATATGTTTTTTTTTTTTCAGCAATGCTAGATGGTCACAAATTTTGTTGCTCAAATGACTCGAAACTACCAAAACGACATCGTTTTGACAGCAATGTTAGGTGGCCACAAATTTTATAGCTCAAATGGTCCGAAACTGTCAAAACGACTCGTTTTGACAGTTTCAGACCATTTGAGCCACAAAATTTGTAACTCTCAAATATTTTTCTTTTTTTTTTTAACAAAAGCAAAAAAATTGACAACATTACCCACCGCTTGGGAGTGTTTGGTAGATTTTAGGGATGCCATCATTTATGTTTATTGTAGGGGTATAATTTGGATGGTCTCAATCTAGACCGAATTTTTTTTAGTGCTTGAATAAGATATTTTTAAATTCAGTACAAGGTTGGACAAAAATTCAAAAATCTGAATTAAATTTGGACGAGTTTAGGCAAAGACATCAAACAATCTGAACAACTCGAAATCCGAATTTTACATATATAGATATATAAAATTATCAAATATACATGTAAATTATTAGTCATTACATGATATTAAAATAATTTAAATTATTAAATCGTATTGAATATATATTATATATACAAGTAATACAAAATCTTACTTTTCTTATTCTCACTTATAAATTGTAAAGACTACTATAACAATATCTCCCTTATATTATATAAATTATTTATTTTGATGTTATTAATAATTTTCTTAAAAAAAATTGTAAATAGAGTCCAGCTTTAGTAATTTAAATAAATAAATAAATAACTGAAATTCATTTAAAATTTAAATTTAACTCGAGTCGAATTTGGACAAACAATATCAAGTTATAATTCAAACCTGAGCGGACTTGGATAATCTCAATATAGCTTAAGCAAATTTAAACAAGGAAAATGGCTGGTAGCTCGAAAGTGAAGGATCGAATGGGTCGAAAATATTCTCTTACCGGTAAGAGAATACAAAAAAAGCCTAAAACAACGTCGTTTTAGGATTTCAAGCCATTCAACCTTCTGATATTTCGAGCTGAGTTGTTTAAACAACTTTTCAACCTAACCGAATTCACCTACACCCCTAGTTTATAATATCACTTTCATTGCAGTTGGATCAGATCAGAGAGACAGTCAGAACAATAAAAAAAAAAAAAAAGAATCCACGGGGACCATATCACTCCAACCGGCAGGTGTCTTCAAGTGTGATGCAGCTCAAATTGCGAGATACAGAGTTAGGGCCACACACACCACACCTCTAGACAACAAATTTATTTTAGTGTTTGGTTGGTGGACAATTTAATGAGTTTTTTTTTTATTTTAATGATTGTGTTGGGAGCACATCAACGTTGACTATACAAAGGTGTATTTCTATCCTGTCTCTTTATTCCCAGATGGGTCCAAACCAAACACGGCACAACCACCATGGCCAGCCCCACATTCCAAGGTTTTGGTTTCTCAAAAATGTTTTTAAGTGAATTTTTTAATATTTATCTACAAATTTTAGCATAAGACCTTTATTTTATTTTATTTTATTTTATTTTATGGGTTTTTTTTAAATAAAGAAAAGATTGAAAAAGCTTATTGCCAAACAAACAAGTCTAAGAATTGCTGAGACAATATTGAAATCAAGGTACAACCCAATAAATGCATGAAATAATTGTAACGTATGGAGTTGTACAACCAATAAATGCATGAATTACTTGTAACATATACGTAGTTGTACATGTATATAATTCTAACATTTTCCTTCCTTCCGTTATTTGTTGTGGTGCATACAAGAGACAAGGACAAAGACAAGGACAAGAATGTGAAGTAATAAGACATCTTTTTGTAGTATTTAAAGAAAAATAAAAACAAAAATACGTTGATTTTATTTTTGACAATAAATAGCATCAAAACTAATGTTTTGTCCATCACATTAACCCCGCCCTCACAGAATCTCAAAACCAACTTTTGGAGAGTAATATTGCCATTACTAATTTTTATACAATTTTTTTCATAAAATGGTATCATAGTGACATTTGACATTTTTATAATTAAATGTCATTTTAATAAATACTTTTTTAAATAATTTTTTTTAATACAGGCACATCATTGTATATACAAGTGCAATGCCCTCAAAGTTGCATTTTTTTTTTTTCGCTAAAACAACATATTCTATGTTTTTCTGGGTGTATAACATACATGCGTACGGACATATTCTATGTTGCCAAGAGCAGAGCTGGTCAAAAACTAGGCTCAGCCCTAAATGACCTTTTTTTTCAAAATAAAACTCCTTATAGAATTTAAAAATTCATAACTAAATACATAATTTAAAATTCTTTTTAAAACTCAATTCAAATTAATATTTTAATTTTGTTAAAATTTTAAATATTTTAATATTTAAATATGTTACGATTTTTTTAATTTTTTAATTTTTTTAATTTTTTGAATATTTTTAAATATTACGATTTTAATTTTTTAAATTTTAAAATATTTTATAAAAATAAATTCAAACTCTATTTTATAAAAATATTTTTAAATATTTTAATTTTTTTGTTATGTATTTGGTTACGATTTGAGTGTAGAGTTGTGAAAGTAGTATGGAGTTTCGAGTTATGTGTTTGGTTATGAGTTTTAAAAATAATTTTTTAATTGAATTTTGTTTTATGTGTTTGGTTACGATTTGAGTGTAGAGTTATTTTTAAATTTAAAATATTAAAATTTTAAATTATTTTAATTTTTTAAATATTTAAATTATTTAAATTTTTACGATTTAAAATTTTAAATTATTTAAATATTTATGATTTAAATTTTTTGAATATTGATTTTGAAAAAAAATTATTTCCTTTGTAGTATTTTCAATTAAAAAATTAATTAATGTTATTTTCTGTTAATAATAAATTTCTTTAATTGAATTTTAAAAAGAGTTTGGTTATGAGTGTTGATCAGAATTTTCAATAGTGTGAAAGTAGTGTGTTTTGTTATGAGTTATAACAGTTTGAATTAAGTTTTAAAAACTCTTTTTAAAACTCATAACCAAATAAATTTTCGTACTTCACATGTCAAATCAAACTTTCAAAACTCAATTCAACACTCTATTCAAAAATCATAACCAAACAAATTTTCTACACTCAAATCATAATTTTAAAACACACAAACTCAAAATACAATTCATATTCTTAAATCATAGTTAGAAAGTCTTACCAAACGAACCTACAATTGTATAGTTTGTTTTTGGTGTTCGTGTTTTTTTTTTTAGGATAAATTACCAACACCCTTCGAGATTTGACTATAATACGAATTCTCTCATAAAGTTTGAGAAATTACAAATTGTCCCATGAAGTTTATATTTGTATAACAAATGAGAGGGTAATTTGTTATGCAAATATAAACTTCAGAGGGCAATTTATTATATAATATAAATCTTAGGGGGCAGACTGTAATTTTTCAAACTTTAAGACGGAATCCATATTTTAGTCATTTTTGGAAGGGATGTTCATAATTTGCCCCCTTTTTTTTATTTTGAGTAAATACATTTACAATAAACAATTTTTATGTACTTTTTCTTGAAAAGACGTGTTTTTGTACATGTTTCTACAAGATTTGTACTATTTTATTTTCTCACGATTATTTCACACAAATTCCTTTTTTTTTTCAATATTTTTATGTTAGGTGTATATAATACTTAAGTAAATTACTTACAATATTAAAATAATTCAGTGCAAAACAAAAGTACGGAATACTTCTAATTCTAATTTTTTGATAAGTAAATCCTAAAAAACCAAACCCAACAATCTGATTACATCTTACAAATTACAACATAACATTTTCATAAATTATTTGTTTTTTTTTTTTTTATGGGAACTTTTGTTCGAATACCAAATTGGTGAAGTCCAATAGTTAATTTCTTTTTAAATATTTTTTTGAAAAAAATAACATTTTGCATTTGTTTTGGTATTGACGTGTTCATGAGCTTTTAATAAAGATTTGAAAACAGTTTAGACACACGTACAATTATCAGCGAAATTGTGAAAATTTTTGGAAAAAAAAATTACGATTATTACATTCCATAATTTATAACAAAACATTTTCGTCAATCAAATTGCAATAAATTTTTTTTTTTTTTTGGGATTCTTTTTTCCAAATTACAAAATTGGTGAAGCCCAATTTGTATATTTTTTTTAGAAAATATTTTTACATAAAAAATGGGTCAAGTTGGCAATATGTGTTCATTTCCCCATATCACCTAAGCACTAATGATATATCCTTCTAATTTTAAAATTCTAATTGAGCTCTAATGATATGACAGAGAATAAAAGAAACAAAAAATAGGAATTGGGCACAGCAGTGACTGTTGTGCCTCATTTGTGGTGCATTATGAATTTATTTTTATAATTTGAACCGTTGATGTTGTAAAGTTTGTTGAGTACTTCATGCCTACCAAAAATCATATTAATCGGATACCAATAACTATATGATTGATAACCAAAAAAATAAACAAGAAGTTTTTCTTTTGAAAAATAGTATAAAAATATGCAATTCGATCATATAGTTATTGATATCCGATTAATATGATTTTTGGTAGGTTTGAAGTACTCAACAAATCCTACAAAATGAACAGTTCAGATCATAAAAATAAGACCATAATGCATTTCAAAATGAGGCACAACAGTTAGGCACAGCAGTGACCCCAAGTCTCAAAAAATAAGCCAAAACATCACCATCACTGTGGAGCCCACACACTTAGAGCTCCTTTAGAACTTTCAATTTAGAGCTCCCAAACATTTTTTATCACCTAAGCCTATAGAGCTGACATGCTGCAATAATTTATGATGCATCACTTCACTTGACAGCATGTCAAGTGAAGTCACATGGTGACAGATTGAACAACAATATTGAAGGACAAAAATGTCAATTTACTCTTTTTTACTTTACTTATATTATTTTATAATATATCTTTTCGTAAAAAGTCAAAAAATTCTTCCCAAACATACAAATTTTTTTATATCATATTTTAGCCAAAAAGTTATTAAAAAAGTCTTTTTGCAAACTATGCCTAACTGTAGTAAAGTATCAATCAAATATTATTTTTTTTCATATTTTTAAATGCAAAATTACTAATTAAACCTTGCATAATCTAACTTATCGACAATATCATTTTCAATATGAGTTTGAAAGGCCCTAAATTTTGTTAAAATTTGGGGGCCCAAGCCAGCCTAGCCTTGTTGTTGAGCTTGCCTCTCGTCGGCCCTGGTAAACCCATGCAAGCCTCTACAATGAATTGGTACCAATCACTACTATTTCAATAAATAAACTAAACCAAAAAAGTTTGATCAGATGAACTATTAACACTTCACTAGCATGCTTACTGCCTCACAGATCTTCACATCCTTTTGTTAACTGTTCGATCAAAATGAATAATTTAAAACCTACATGTTTTCATTGTCCACGTGATCTTCTAAGTTTTATAATGAAATGCCAAGTTACTTGGATGTGCTAAAGTATTGCGTTTGTTAAAATTGTTCAACTCACATTCAGGTAGGTAGTTGATTCTTCTTTTCAAAATTTGTTTTCTAAGAAATGATTTCAGGGTAGCAACCAAACACCAAAAAATAAAAGTGAAATGTAATTATTTTACCTGTAAAAGTTTTGTAGAAAAACATTTTCAAATGTAGAATATTTTGTGCTGAAACAAACAGAACTAAGTATTTTTATTGTCTTGTCGCAGCCTATCTAGGTAAGAGAAAACAAAGCAAAGACTTACTGTATCTAGAAGATAGCCTCATGCTGTGTTTGGTTGGGGGATTTGGAAAGGGAAACGGAAAAGGTGTGTGAAATTATGTGAAATGTAGGCGTATTTTTTTCACATTTCACCTACCTTTTTCATTTCTCTTTCCAAATCTCTCCTCAAATCCCTCAACCAAACACAACATTAATCCATCAAGTCGTAAAACAATAAAAAAGTCAAAATACTCATAAATCATAGTTTTATTTTAGTCACTAATAGATATCATCATGATATAAATGGATTGTATGCATTAGTTCATATATCTGTACATGTAAATTCAAACCTTTATTTTAGTCACTAATAGATATCATCATGATATAAAATGGATTGTATGCATTAGTTCATATATCTGTACATGTAAATTCACACCTGTTTCACAAATTCAATATGGATGTGTAAGCAGAAACATGTTTGTCACAGCACTCTGCATCCCATGAGAAGTCCTTTGTCATTGCCTCCATTATCTTCCTATTCCACTGGGATGGGTTGTTCTTCTACACAATCGGACAAGACAACAAAGATATCAAATGTTTAAATCCTTTTTCGAACATAAAAGTAAATTATTCTATCAAGGTAAAGCACACACAGACGCAAAGAGTTTGACACAGAAACAAAAGCAACTTCACAGATGCACAGGGGAATACGCACAATTTCATCAATTGCTCGGCTTAAGGATACATTTCCAAATGTATTGTTGATGTACTGTGAGAATTCCGTGCTCTCAAAGTCATAATCTGTGATCTGCCTACTGAGAGAGAATACATAATTTAGACACTGGATCTTTCTCTTTTCAATTAGCTAAAAAAATAAAGGAAAGTAGCGAATTATTAAAAACACTTCAAATTCTCTAACAAACCTGAATTGGTTATCAATAAGAGTTGCTGCAACTGGAGCAGCTCCATATCTTAGAGCCTTCAGCTACAGTTTCAAAAATAAAAAACATGAACAATATTTTGTAAAAGATATTTACACATTCAAAAGCAAAACATTATATAACATTTTAAGTAAATAGAGTAAGGATGGATGTGTTCCCAATAATAGCACAAATGCAGGACTTAGAAACATGCAATAAAAGACACTGATAGCACTATTAGGGAAAGCAATCTGATTTAAGCTGAAGGCACTAAAAACAAAAGAGGGACATCAAAAGTCTGCTAAACTGAGAGTAAAGGGTTGTTTGGGATGATCTAAATAAGTGCACTTTTTGGTTTTTTATGAAATATGGGTTGGGTTTGGGTTGGCTTTGAAGTGATGTGACTTAAATAAGATGATGTGACTTAAATAGGATAGTGACTTTTTTACTTTTTGACTTTTTTCAAATATGCCAAACCAAGCCTAAATATATCCAAAAAGGAAAAAGAAAAAGAAAAAGAAAAGAATGAGTTGAAAATGGCCTCGGGATCTAGATAAAGGTAAATATCGAAAACTGAATATCACATCCACTACCCTATGTTCCTGGGATAGAAGGTCTTATTTAGACAGCCTTATATGTAAATGTAGAAAAATTTTAATATACCTGTATGTTATGTATTATACTGAGGGGAATGCCAGGATAAGGAGGAATACCAAAATTAGCATGGGTTGAGATAGAAAGGAATCACAGATTGGCTTGCTGTTTAACTGAAATTTTGGCCCTTGATCAAGCGCAATATTGAAACAGTACTTGGGTATAAAAAAAGACAAGGATTTGTTGAGTTCAGTTCTTTTGGATGCATGCAAATATTATATATAAGCATATAAAATTTCTTTGAAGGATCCTTTCAATAGTTCACACATAAACCAGGACCCATGGTCCACAACAGACAGGCGTACAAGAAATTGTTTCAGAGTAAATGTGACAACAGCAACTGAGCAGCTGATTTAGGAAGAATATTTATAGGCTACACATACTGGCACTTGGAGCACTGGATCATCAAAAGATTGGCATAATATAATATCAGATCCTGCAAAGATTAAATGGGACAAGGCTTCATCATATTCATTTAAAAATCTCACGTTATCATCCTGCAAAGTGTGGAAAGTACCAAGAAAGTGTATCAGTAGAGCAAAAGGTAAAAGAAGCATCATGAAACAAATTACTTTCTGACATAGGAATAACAAATATGCGGCCTATATCTTCTCGTTGAAGTATGACAAACAATGGGGGAATTCTTTTGGAAGACCATCTTAAATAATTTTTTAACAGTCATGAACAGAAAGGCAGTGCAATAAAAACTACCATCATGTTATGCAGGCAAACACACCCATTTTGATACTTTAGCAACAAGACCACTCTGTCATAAACAATAGCAGTGAATTGTTTTAACCATGACACTTGACTACCACCAAAAACTTTTATTGTGGATCCAAGATCTTGTCTACTTTCAGGTCAAATGAGAGAGTTTTAAATTTAAAAGGTTGACAAGGATATAGTTCTTCTATAAGTAATCATTAGTAGCTATGAGACTTGCCTTTTGACATATTTTGGAATGTATTATACAACATAAAATCCTGGATTAAAGAAACCTGGCAGATAAACCGAAACAATTCGAACATTTTTATTCCATGCTTTGATACCAAACCAAACCAAACCAAACCAAACCAAGCCTTAAGTTCTATCAAATGGGGTCGACTACATGAATCCTTCTTCTCCAGGCGGCCCTATCAAAGACCATTTCATTAGTCAAATTAAGTAGATCCATATCTCTATTTACAACGCTAGCTAACGTTAATCTAGGCCTACCCCGCCCCCTACTACTTCCATCTACCATTACAATATCGCATCTCTTCACTACTACCTCTGTTGGTCTATGTTGAATATGACCAAACCACCTCAATCGATTCTCTCTCAAATTATCTTCAATCGGTGCTAAGGAGAAAAATTTAGGTAGCTTATGGTAGAGTTTTCTAAATATGATTTGAGAATAGAGCTGTATTTTGAATTTGTAAGTTTTGAAAATATGATTTGAGTATGGAAAATTTATTTGGTAGATGAGTTTTGAATTGAATGGGGAATTTTTGATGTGACATATGATATTTAATACAAAAACTTACAACTCATAACCAAACACACAACTCAAAATTCTATTTAAAACTTATAAAAAAAAAATTTTAAATTCTAATTTTTTTTTATTTAAAATATAAAAAATAACAGGTGCCAATTGTTTAAAAAATATATATATATAAAAAATAAATAAATAAAGTATTGTTCCGGTCAATCGGCCGGACGTCCGGGAGGACGACCGGTTAACCCAAATTTTCCTATCTTGGAAAGAGTTTTCAAAAATGGGTGTGGAATTAATTTTTGAAAACTCTAAACAAACAAGACACTCAAAACAAAGGGTGAAAATATGTTTGGAGAAGCTAACCAAACACAGTCTTAATCTTCCACCACAAATATTGCACTTTAAAGGCAAAGCACAAAACACAAAACATTGCTAACAATAGCAATTCATTTCACAGACATAATTTTACTTTTCAACAAATCAGATGACATGAAAAGAAAGAAAAAAAAATTTAAATTTAAAAATAAAAAAATAATAATAAAAAAAAAAGAAAAAAACTCGTGATATTTGGCAAATGCATGTCAAACTGAGTCATCCATGCCTCGGCTTGCAGCATATATTTAATGATGTCTCTGCTTGGTTTTATAATTGCCCAGCCTTGAGGACCACCTTTTCTTAAGCAAGCCTCAAAAATGCTTTTGAAAATCTAGATTGGAAGAGAAGAAATGACAATTCTTAGAATCCATTTCATGATTGTGGCAATACATTTTCGTTTTTCAGTTAGCAAGAAAGGAGACTTAAACTATTTAGCTACCAAAACAGTGCCTTTTTCCAGGTTGCTAAAGTAATGCCTTTTTTATACATCCATGTTTTTCCTATATGAACAGAAGACAAATGGGAACCAAAGAGCACAAGAAATTGAAAGGAGAAATGCTTGCACCTTGAGTTCTTCCTCAAAAGATTCCAGTGCCCTGTTTATGCCTTCAATTTTTCTCATCCCCATAAAGATAAACTGTATAAAATAACTGGACAAATCAAATTCGAGGAAATCATTCGATAGAGGAATGAAGTACAGATGTGAAGTTTCAGTTTAAAAACTCCTAGCTGAATGGCTAATCCATTCCTCCTCATTGTCAAAAATTGTTCATTAGTGTCCCATTAATAACCTTCCCACATCGATGGTTGGATTTTCAATAGAATTAGGATAATCAAACAACCTTTATATTAATAAGGGGAAACTAAGTACTGACAAACCTGAACACCTTTTCTGGAAGCAATACAAACAAGTGCCTTGAGGTTCTCCAGATCAACATCTGACACTTCTGAAAAGATGCAGCCAACCTATAATACATCATTCTTTAAGATCTGCTAAAAGCATGCAGATATATTACAGAAGAGCGGAAAAAATGCATGCATGACAGAAATTAAGCAAAATTAAACATTAATTTGTTCCAGCCATTCTGAGAAGATTAGAGGTGGTTGACGTCTAATCTATAACCAGTTCAACAAATCGAGGAAAAAAATATATGACCATTTTTTGCCGAGTCCACATGCCCTTAAATTTCAAGTTTGATGGGTCTAATCTCTAGATATGCACCTGCACCCAACACTCGTGCCCAAGTCTGTGTAACATAGATTTAAACTATCAAAGCATGGTCAGCTATAAAGCACCGTCCCATTTCTGTATTTGAAATACACATCTGGGTGTAAACAAATAACGTATTATTCATGTCAAAGCTTTCCTGGAAAGAAGATTTGGATTATTGTACAAAATTACCAGAATGTTTCCCCAGCTGACCAAACAGATATCTATTTTACATTCAGATGTTATGTTAATTTATGACATATGAAGCACAGATTGAAAGAGGAACAGGAAGAAGAGGAAAAAGAAAAAGAAAGAAATGATCTAAATAAGTACACTTTTTGACTTTTTATGAAATATGGGTTGGGTTTGAAATGATGTGATAGAGAGGTGATGTGACTTAAATAAGATGATGTGACTTAAATAGGATAGTGGCTTTTTGAATTTTTGACTTTTTTAGATTATGACAAACAAAGCCTTACAGTAATAATAGAAGGATTCTCAGATATCCCCACATGCTGCTGTAGTGCGATTTTGCAAACAGCTTTCCCCTTCATATCATCCACACTGTAGCTTTGTGGAAGAAAGTGATCCATGGAAGGATTCCAGGTGGAGTTGTCAAATCCACAAGGAGCAACCAGCAACTTGTCCCTATATGCAAATCCAAACAAGAAAAATCTTTTAGGATTAAAAGTTCAATTCTTGGAGCTTACATTATAGAATAAAAACGTTAGTGAACCTATTTACTAGTTGAATCAAGAAAATTCTGTTCCATTTCAGTTTATAACAAGATGGGTAGAAAAAAGGACACACGTCATAGAAAATTTAAGCATTGAAATTCAGAAATGGCTTGAAAGAACTACTTACTTGTGAACTGCTAAGGTGGATTCCAGCCCATAACTCAAACTATGAATAATCAGACCTTTTGAATGCATAGATGACATTATTACAACTTTATTGGAGTAAACAATTCCGCCCTGCAAATTTGTAGAAGGAACTCAAAAATATGTGCTGATGTTCACAAGAATGAAGCTAAAGATTCTATTATATTGGGGATACTGCAACATGTAAGCTATATCAATTAACGAAGGGAAAAAAGGGTAAAGAAATATGGCTTTAGAACAATTCTCCCACAAAATAGAGGGCAGTTGATGCAAGGATGTGAAGATTTGGGGTTATGTTATGCCAATCAGTAGCAACTAGCAACTGAGTTTTCTGTGCAGATTACAAATTATACCATGAACAGGGGTGGCGTCAAGTGTTAACAGATAGGGTAAGCTGACCTTATCTATATAGCTGGGTCAACGACCAACCCATGATTAAAAACAATGAACCCACCCCACATGCCCAATGCATTCAACATGAGTTTAGCGGCTTCAGCCCGTTTTCCTTAAAAATAATAATAATATAATAAAAATAAAAAATTGAAGTGGGCAATGGTTACTTTTTAATATTTCCCCATCAGTCTCCTTGACTTCCCCTCTCTCTCAACTGTGTCTAACAAACACGGAGACAACAAACACCGTACATGAAGAAGCGGTGGGCTTCAACTTCAAGACCTCTCTAGCTCTCTCATATCTCTCAAAGGAAACTTCCTTGAGGTTATTACGTGTCAATTCTAAAATATGAAACTTCGTCGAGGACAATTGTAAAATTACACTTATTTGCTTCTTTTTTTTTTTTTTTTTTCTTTTGGGTCAAAAACAATTGTTTCAATGTATTAAGATTTTAGAGTATTTGTGTTCAAGTTTTTGCATGACACCATCAAGAGAAAAATTTATAGCTGCCACTGGAACTTGGCAATCACAAACCTAAACAGTTTCAATCTTAGTTATAAAACCCTTCTGAGATTAATGTAATCATTGCATTTGAACTTTAGAATTTATGATATACATCTCAAATTTTATGGAACCATTATTTGAGTTGAAAAAAGGTCTATCATCAATATGATAAAGATTACTTTCTTATGCTCCTTTTTACTGAATTTTAATATCAAATGACCCCATTTATTATGACAGGAACTATTTCATCCAATGAAAAAATACAATTCATTTGGCACATTAATGCAACGGAGCCTTTAGATGTTGACAAGATGTGTCTTAGTGTTTAGATGAGCAATATAACACATGAAAAACGTTGACAAGACGTGTCTTAGTGTTTAGACAAGCAATATAACACATGAAAAACCATGGCCAAAATTTTCATTGAAATATAACCAGTATAAATAGGAAGAAATGCATACCTTTAAGATGTTGACAAGATGTGTCTTAGTGTTATCTTGCAAACGATCATGACGGTGTAGTCTAGAAGGATCAAGTCCACACAGTCCTAGCTTATCAGGTTGCTCAAGACACTAATGTAATAGAATATAAAGAGTGATGATAGTTGATGATGTCAAGACAGCAAGGACCCATAAAAAATTGTAAAAAAAAATCCAGAAAATAATAACCCAAGGAACTTGCCTGAGAATCAAAGTCCTGACATGTCAGCAATATCCTAGTACTGCCTAATCCCTGTATATTGAGACAAGAACATCGTTATGACAACATCATGTTCTTTATAATTAATTGTCAAATTATTACAGATTCTAATAACCCATCTAATGTAGCACATAATGCTTACAACAGTGGATAAACAGACATACGGCTACAAGCTCTCAAGGGCACCTCCCGGTCAAAATACTAGAGCTAGGATTTGGACCCCAAAACCTTCCCCAAGGGGTGTAGCAGTTACCACAAAATCTACTTTAAGGTTGGTGATCCTTTTAAAATTTATTTCTAACTCGGTTTGAAATTGAAATAGCTATTCAACAACTATTTGTGCTGGTGCAGTACAAACTGATACTGGTCTGAAAAAAAATGAAAATATATACATAACGCACTTCCTACTATTAGCCAAGCAAGAAAGATTAGAGTAATTGTACATATCCCTTGTGATTAGTCTCAACTAAAGATGGGTTAGACACACCTTGGCATAGCTTTAAAAAAAATAAAAATAACTAAATAAATAAATAAAAACTACAGGGTCAAGATCATGTTCTACGAATTTAAGCAGTAAAACATGAGCTTAATGTAACACAACATCAATAGGCCATATCATATCATTCACCATGATGAAAAGAAACAGTTGCAAGTTGCACCTGTTTAACAAAAACATCCCAGAAAAGTGGCCCGACAATAGCAGTTTGCCAGTTATGTATATGTAACACATCAGGCTGCTTTCCTGATTTGACTATATAATCCAATGAAGCTCGGGAGAAATAAGTGAATCTGACAGCATCAAGTAAACGACCCATTAAAAAAGGACAAACAAAAGAATAGTTAAACAGTAGGTAGAAATAAATATTAACAAAGCACACAAATAGACTTTTTTGTTTCCGTTAGTTGTGGCCAGACAGCAAGACCAGTCGCAGTGGTTTCCCCCATGGAGACAAACAACCCCAACCTCTATGGAATCGAACTTGATATTAAACCTCAGGAAATTACATAGAGATCAAAGAAAAATGAATAAAATCTCAAGTAGCAGCTGGAATGACTAAACTTTCAAACTGAAAAGAAATAAGTTAAACCAGGGAAAATGGTTTACTACTTGACGCTAGTAAAAACTTCAAAACTACAGTCTACAGTTGCTCTAGAACCAGATCAAGACAGAATCAAATTATTTCATCTTCCGATTAAGTATAGCCTTACAATGTTAGAATGTGATGTTGTACAAAGGAACAAAGGAATCCCCTCATACTAACTATATATCTCTAACTGAATATTTCTGGTAACAGTTTTTCTTTTAAAGTATGAAAACATTGTTTCAGGAACCTCTTCAGTGCATTCAGTATCAATCCTCTCATTCATGTCTCATCCATGCTGGCAAAATAATTTCAAAGTTTACCCTTAACAAATTTCTTCTCCAAAAAGAATGTTAACATCCTAATTGGTTCCAAAAGCAAATGCAAGGCCTTTCTGTATTGAACACAGACAATTTATTTTGCAAATAACAAGATTCGAGAACAGGAAGTGCAAGCTAATCAAATTAAACTTGGCATATGACCAACATGACTCCTCCACAAAGTAAAAAGTCCATTAATCAATGAGTGCAACTCAGTTCAGGTGGGATCCACTTGGTGCAAAAATAATAAATAAATAAAGAGTCAAAGCAAAACAAACTAATAAACAAAAAATCAAAGGATCAAAATTAGTTTTGAAAATGCTGATTTAAAGCTGCACTGACCAGTAAATAACCAAACTAAACAACCCAAACAATTGCAGGTTGGTAAGTATAGTTGGTAACAAAGAAAAATAGGGTTTTACAGAAATCTTAATGTTTTGACAAACCTGGAGACAGCATAAAACACTGAGCCAATACATAGCAATTTGTCCAAGGAAAAAGAAAAAATCAAGGAAAATAAACTACAGAAATGACAAAAAGCAATTGGTAAAAGCACCTTATGGTTCTTTTCTGATACTTTTAGAGGATAAAGCTTTGATGGGGGATAAAGCCAAAAAGAAAAGGGGAAAACAACCAAATTACCGTTCAAAGTCATTTGAGTAGCCATATACCCTCTCGAGGCTAAAGAATGATGAATAATAAATAGGTTGTATAAAAGTGATTCCAATGCCATAGACTACACTGTACAACAAAAATAAAAGGTAACATGAGTTTCTAAATGACTTTGCTAATTTAATTTTCTGCTAATACAACTAACAGAAACAAAATAAATAGTTATTCTTGGCAAAGTGCCCAACATAACCTTACATGTTACAACAAATAACCAAACTCACCCGGTCCAAATTCTGTTTACATGCAATTGACCATTGAAATATGAATAGAACTCTGCCTCAATTTCTCTTAACCCTTGAACTTCATCCAGGTTTAGGGTTGCATACCTATTTACAAGGTGCATTTTTGTCTAAGTAACAATTCAGAAATATCTGGTCCCAATCTAATAATATTAAGAAAATGTAAATGAACAACAAACAAATTCAACAGGATTCTTTCATTAATTGCAAACATTCGTGAACCAATAGACACAGTATGAAAGTGGCAAGGTAAGTAGAAGCCTTTACAGTCTGTTCGAGGCATCTAGACACCTAGACAATCAACCTACTGGGATGAGGCTAGGCTCCCACTAAGGTTTTAAAAAGCGGCCGCAACCGTTACATAATGCCTTTACGTAACTATTGTGGTGGTTACCGCCACCCGTTATGGCCGCTATAGCGGTGTGACGGAAATTCACATGTGTAACGGCCGTAACAATCTGTTGCACACCATTACACCCTTTTATAATATTTTGAATAACTTTCTTTCCCAAAAAAAAAAAAAGAGCAAGGTTTCGAAAAGCGGTTGCGGTTGCGGTCGCCGTAATGGTTACGGTAAAGCGGTTGCGGAGTATAAAGGCCATAGCGTAATGGTTGCGGTAACTGAAACCGTGATTTTTTTTTTAATTTTTTGCACAATTTGAAAAAAAAGCTCACCGATACGCATATCTTTTTTTTTTTCTTTCTAGAATCACATTTATTAGGGTTTAAAATAGATTTTGATCATTTTTTGTTAATTTTTAAGTATGATCCAATATATTTCATATTTTCAAATCACTATAAAATGAACTTTTTACATTTTATTTCAATAGTTAATGACTTTAAGAATAATTAATTTTAAATGTCTATAAATTATTTTTGACCAATACCCAAGGTTTTAAAAAACGGCCGCAACAGTTACGCAACGGTTGTGGTGGTCATCGCCACCATTTACGGCCGCTATAGCGGTGTGACGGAAATTCACATGTGTGACGAACGTTTCGGTGTTACGTAATAGCCGTAGCAGTATCGTAACGGCCGTAACGTTCCGTTACACACCGTTATACCCTTTTATAATATTTTGAATAACTTCATTTCCCAAAAAAAATAAAATAAAAGCTTACAAAAAAAGAAGAAATACTCAAGTGATCCAAATCCAAAGAAAAAATCTTATATGAATTTATTTTCTTTATAATTTTTATTTTATTACATTAGCATGTAAAATAAAAAATATATAAACAGCCTATAAAGCACGGACACGGACTCGGACACGCATATGGACACGGACATGAGATACGGCAATTTCTAAAAAATGGGGACACGGACACGACAGGGGACACGGCAAATTTTTTAATTTTTTTATCAATATTTTTATTTTAATACATAGCAATTATTTTATTTATTTATTATATTTTTTAAATAATGTGTTCCAATTAATTTTTTATTTTACATACATGTGTTTATTTTTTTTATTTATTAATATGTATAAGTATATTATCTTATAATATGTATTACATATTATCTTATAAGTATATTTATGTTATATAATAACAATTATATAATATATAATAATGATAATATCTAATAATAGTTATTATATAATAGTTGTATATATTATATATGAATCAAGACAAGAAGACAAAAACGGGAGAGAACAGAGAGACAGAGGGAGACGATCGCGAGGGAGAGAGAGAAGGCGGGAGAGAGAGACCTCTGAGAAGGCAAAGGCGAGAGAGAGCTCGTCAAAGTCGAAGGGGGCTCTGGATCGTCGAAGTCAAATGGGCTCTGGATCGTCGAAGTCGAAGTCGAAGGGCTCTGCATAGTTGCCGACCAGGTTTGTACTCATTTTCTCTTTCATTTACTCTTCTCGCCGTGTCCATGGTGTGTCCAGCTTTGGACACGTCTGTCCCCTGCAAAAAAATAAATTAAATTAAGGGGACACACCAGATGCCGTGTCCCGTACGTGTCCCCGTATCCAACACCGCCACGGCTTCCATTTTGGCGTGTCCATACTTCATAGCAACCAGTAATTGTATTTATTTTTATAATCATTTTATTTAATATTTAATTATAAATATTTTTATTTTGTTACTGTAATGTGTTGTCTAAAAAATGTCTTTAAAAAACTCAAAAATATTTTTTGTTTATGGCACAATTTTTATTTTCATAATCATTTCATTTAATACTTAATTGTAAATAATTTTATTTAGTTAGTTGTAAAGTGGTCTAAAAAAATGTCTCAAAAATAATTTTTATTTACGGCATAATTTTTATTTTTATAATCATTTCATTTAATAATTGTGAATATTTTTCATTCAATTAGTTCAGGTATTGGCAAGGTTTCGAAAAGCTATTGTAGTCGCCGTAACGGTTGCGGTGGCGGTGGCGGTGGCGGTTGCGGAGTATAAAAGTTATAACATAACGGTTGCGGTAACCAAAACCGTGATTTTTTTTATTTTTCGCACAATTTGAAAAAAAATTTACCGATATGCATTTTTTTTTTCTAGAATCACATTTATTAGGGTTTAAAATAGATTTTGATCTATTTTTGTTAATTTTTAAGTATGATCTAATATATTTCATATTTTAAATCACTATAAAATGAACTTTTTACATTTTATTTCAATAGTTATTGACTTTAAGAATAATTGATTTTAAATGTCTATAAATTATTTTTGACCAATTCCTGAACTAATTGAATAAAAAATATTCATAATTATTAAATGAAATGATTATAAAAATAAAAATTGTGCCATAAACAAAAATTATTTTTAAGACATTTTTTCAGACAACATTTTACAGGTAACTAAATAAAATTATTTACAATTAAGTATTAAATGAAATGATTATAAAAATAAAAAATGTGCCATAAACAAAAAATATTTTTGAATTTTTTAAAGATATTTTTTAGACAACACATTACAATAACAAAATAAAAAATATTCATAATTAAATATTAAATAAAATGATTATAAAATTAAATACAACTACTATTTATATATTTTTTATTTTACATGCTAATGTAATAAAATAAAAATTATAAAGAAAATAAATTCATATAAGATTTTTTCTTTGGGCTTGAATCACTTGAGTATTTGTTCTTTTTTTGTAAGCTTTTATTTATTTTTATTTTTTTTGGGAGGAGGGGAAGGAAGTTATTTAGAATATTATAAAAAGGGTATAACGGTGTGTAACGGATAATTACGGCCGTTACGTGACACCGAAACGTCAGTTACACATGTGAATTTCAATCACACCGCTATAGCGGCCGTAGCGGGTGGCGGTAACCAGCACAATCGTTACATAACAGTTGCGGCCGCTTTTTAAAACCTTGGGTATTAGTCAAAAATAATTTATAAATATTTAAAATCAATTATTCTTAAAGTCATTAACTATTGAAATAAAATGTAAAAAGTTCATTTTATAGTGATCTGAAAATATGAAATATATTGGATCATACTTAAAAATTAACAAAAATTGATTATAATCTATTTTAAACCCTAATAAATGTGATTCTAGAAAGAAAAAAAAATATACATATCGATAAGTTTTTTTCAAATTATGCGAAAAATAAAAAAATCACGATTCCGGTTACCACAACTGTTACCACAACCGTTACGCTATGGCCTTTATACTCTGCAACCGCAATCGCGCCACCGCAACCGCTTTTCGAAACCTTAGCTCCCACAATGCCTAGACAACAAGTTCATTTGTTTTTAATTTAACTAGACAATTTGAATTATTTATAAAGGATGGAACTACAACATTCTAACTTTTCTATCCGACAAAGGAAAGCTCAAAACCAAGTATATTATATGAGTAAGAGTCGTAGTTACAACTTAGATGTTAACATTAAAGATTGAGAGTACTGGTAGTGCTTCAGTGTCTTTATTCCACTCACTAATCCAAACCATTTGCAATCAAATTGATGGTGCTAAGAATTAGTAATCCCGACAAATATTGCACAAGGATTCACCAAGAAAGAACATTTAAACCGAAAAAGAGAACATGAAGTGGTAGCTAGGTAATGGCCGACTAGACCAGAAGTTTGGTACTCCCACCAAAACATGTCTTAAAATGTGAATTGAGAAACTTCATCATATGGAGGTTTACTATTCCATTCTATTCATTGACTCAGAACTATTTGCCAGTGTTCTAGAAGGCTGTAATGAATGGCATCTAACATTTTGTCTTCTAAATAGGCACAAGAAAATAAGATTTTGAAAAAGAATGAAAATGAAATATAAGGTCCCGTGATTACTTTGGTAAAATAACCTCCACCGAATGACCTTTTCTTTGTAGCGCACGGGATAGCCCTGTAACATACGATGCCAAAGATCCAACAGAGATGACTGGTGCCATTTCAGTGCAAATGTGGACAATGTGAAGACCTTTCCTGAATAGAAGATGATATAGAATATGTTGGAACAGATAATTAAAGAAATAAAGAAAGAAAGAAGAAAACGAGAGAGAACAAGGATGTGATAATAACATCTTGGTACAAAAGCTTGTGATCTCAAAAGAGAAGCAAACATAAGCCATTCCAAATGAGTGTCAAATACCATGTCCTTGAAAAGTTTATACATACAAATGAGACTTATGTGCAAATTGCAATCTTATAACTAGAGAAATGTCAAGGATATTGCAAGATATTCCAATAAATTACTAACACTTGCACTACTAGTAACAACTGTATTCAAAGTCTATGCATATCTTGAATATACTATATGTAAGCTACTGTTCCGCCACCACATACTACAGCTACAGTTTCCTTTTCTCTGGCACTCGAGCTGTTTCACGTAAAAATACCAAAGCATGATGACACACACACACAGATATGCTTCCTCTAGCATGCAATTATAGAATTCAATATAAAATACATCATTTTCTTTAAGACGGGACCATATTTCAAACATTATCCTCAAAATTTGAAGATAAAATTAGTAACACTACATAGTAGAAAATATTTACTTTTTGCTTTTGTCTGAGAACTGGCAGAGTTCTGCCAGAAGTTCGGCATCTCTTTTATGCAGGATGTCAGAGAAATTATCAGCTACAGTTACTTTTGAATCCATGATCATTTTTCTCAAATCAGATGCCTCCCCAGTGCCTATCATGCCTGTGAGGACCATTGAGTCTAATCTAAGCAGCAACTCCGACCTGATTGATAGTTTATCTGGTGTAGGTGAGAAATTGAAAAAGAAGGTTATTAGTAAATATTCTCGTATTAGAATCTATATACAGTGTACAGAAGTACAATAAATTTTTTAATAGACAAAGTACAGAAGTAAAATGATGGAAGAAACAAATCATGTAACATGGTCCATGAGATCTTGACTGCAAATATGAAAGATATCAGCATATCTGCAACTGCAAGATATAAATACTGCTATGCACTACCAGAACTCATGATGTCTCGCAATGGCTCAATCCAGTTCACTTAGCTAACTTTTATACCAGATTGCATGCTCAGTCTCAAGCCAACCATGAATCATCTGCTAGGTTTAAGTGGGTGAAGTAGGTGGAGAGTAGGTGGATTTTAACATATTGCATGCTCAGTCTCAAGCCAACCATGAATCATCTGCTCTTATAAAAGCAATGCATAGTTTCATATGTTGATAATGCACATGAACAAATGGACATTCAAGTCTAACTGTCTAGCCTGTTTCCTAACAGCTTAAGCTTTGGTGAATAATGATTGTCCAACATCAATTCGTTGAGACTTGAGATGGATGAGATAAGACGGGAGCTTCAAAGAGAAAGACATTTGAGGTAATGTCGCGTCATAAAGTATCGGGGATACATTTGAATCTTCATTTCCCTTGGAAAGCTATCTGGTAAACAAAACTCCTTCCGTGGAAGCTTCTTTGGCATGGGCAGCTCATGGCTATTTTTGATGATTAACAAAACAAGAAAGAGGGGCAGATAATCATAGTGTTGAATGAGTAAAAAGGTGGCAGAATAAGCGGAGCATCTTTTATTTACTTTGCGGTCGCTACGGCTGTCTGAGCAATATTATTATCTAAGAAGCACGGACACTTCTAAGAAGGTAACGTATCCGTGTCGTATCCGTGTCGGACACCGACACTCTTTGGACACTTTCCCGACACGTGTCCGACACTCTTTAAAACGTGTCCTATTTTTTAAAGACCCGGACACTCTTTGGACACTTGGAGAATACATGTGTATCTCTTAAACACACGTGTCTATCAATTAGACACATGTGAAACCAATTATAAGTTTGAACAAAACAACTTAAGATACAATAATAAAATAAAAATCATATAAATTCATAAGAATTATTGTCATATTTAATATTTTTATTATCTTTGAACGATATATTCATATATATAACATATAATAAATATATAAAATTATATATTTCATGCGTGTTCCCCGCGTGTCGTATCCTGCATTTTTTGAAAATTAGCGTGTCGGCGTGTCCGTGTCGTGTCACGTGTCCGTATCCATGCTTCTTAGATTATTATATTATGGGTTTTTCAAAATCAGTGGCAGCGCTGTTGGCTACCTGGAGAGTGTAGATAGAAGAAAAAACAAGTTTTGAAGAATTCCTATACTTATTTTGGTGCCCTTTTGGCAAGACAAACGTGTATGGTTCATTGGAGAGAGTAGGTAGAAGAAAAAACACGTTTTGAAGACTTCCTATACTTTGACTATTTTGGAGCCTTTGGCTAGACAAACTTATATGGTCTTTGGAGGGCACAGAGGCCAGTCACTTCACCAAACTATTTGGATGATATTAGTTCATCACTTGAGAGACATATGTGAAACTTTTAGATAATCCATCATTGCAGACTTTCAACTCTACGGATAATATGAATATTTCTGTCAGTGTATTGCTGCCCCTTTTAGAGATATTGCTTTTGGTTATCAGACGAAGCAACTTTTTCATTTTTTAATGAGCATTAATTCAAAGAAACTAGACTAAGGTACAAAGTATGTCATTGATATTACAAGCTTGTGAATGTGTACATCAGGCCACATCTGCAAGCCAACAACATGATTCATTGAATTCAATACGTTGCTTGAAATCCAAGGCTAACTCTTGTACATATATATATATATATATGCTTGAAAGAGAAGAAGAATCCCACATGTAATGCACGATGCGTGCCCGATATCGCATAGTATGTTACATGCAACAAGACTTAATGCAATTGAAGCTTCTTATATTAGAGGATTTGAACTTGAAAGTTGAAATCTTTACTATTATGCAAACTCAATGTCACGGAGATCTTTGTTTTGTACAATGACAGCCTAAACCATCACTTAAAGTCATCTCCTATGACTCTGGACAACAGATGAAGCCCTGGCACTTTAACTAACGGGTGAGAGCCTCCTTGCAATCCACAGAAAAAGTGAACAGTTTGGAAACAGTGCCAAACCAGTTTCTTATTTCTCTTCCAGATTCTACTTGCTCTATCTACAACTCTATTCTCCTTCTTGGTTTTGCTTCACAAATTTATTTTGAGCATCAATGGAAGTAACCAAGCTAAGGTGTACCATGATGTTTGAAAGTTTTTAGTCAAGACCCCTATAGTACCATCAGCAAACCAATCACATTGATAATTGCCAGCCCAAGTATATGTATATATCATGGTCAAACAATTATTAACATGTAGTAAATGAGCCACTAAAAATCTTGTGCGAGAAAGATATCAGGTGGCTAACCCAATCATAATCTATTTGGTGTAGCCACATTATAAACAATGATTTCAGGGTACTATCACCTTTTCTAGTGCTGAGCTGCTTTTTTATCTCCAACTGTTTTATCCTATCAAGCAAAACCTTTTTCTCTCTCTTCATGTTGTCCAGCTCCTCCATGGCCATCATGCGTTGTTTGTTTAAGTATAAAATGTCTGAATCCAACTTAAGGCATCAGAATAAATAGGCACCTTGCATATGATGCACAAGACATCAAATGCATAAGATCTCTAAACATTACCAATGAAAGAAATGGGTAAAAATAGTCACCAAAGGACTTACTTTGTTGTGCTTCCCTAAAGAGTTGCCAAATGTCAGTATGTTTCTTTTCCGGTATGCTCCTCATAGACTGCAGCAAAATACTATTGACTGGCTGCTGGAAATAAATACCAAGGTCAGAATTGAAGCAATGAAAACATACCTCAGACATGTCTGAATTATCCTGGCCTTCTAACCTAGAAATTGAAGCAATGAAAGCTTTCATTTAGTAAATTAAAAAAAAAAAAAACAAATGCATAAATTTAAATAAGAAGGAGATGATACTTACGCCATCCGAAAAGATCCACTAGATACACCATTGCCCCCACCATTCTTCCTGCAAATAGTGTCACTATGCTTAGGTAATTAAACAGAAGTAAAACGTTAGTTCGAGCACTTATTCTTTGCTACATCAAATGGCTTAGCAATCCAGCGAAAGCATCATCATTACGGACACGTTGTTGCCGGATAAAATAGGGGAATTGGATGAGTATCCATGGAATTGATTTATCAGACATTTGATTCCACAATTTGACGGCAGGATAGTCTGGGCAGATTGGACACTATATCCCACAAATGGGTGATAATTCAATCCAGCATACAATAATACAATAATTTCAAGCATACAATAATACCACCCCAATCAAGTCCCTCTCAAACATGGGATGGGGTAAAATGAATTTTCCTCCAAACACATCCTAAAAGAAATGGGGCACTAAACCATAATAAGGAATGTAAGAGTGGTGGTAAACTAAGAAAGAAAAGCGGCGAACTGTTTTAAAAAATTGGATCTCATGCATAGGCATAAGTTTTTTCATCTCTGTAATAGGTCCAGTAAAAGGAGGAGAAAACAGATGTGAAATTGATTTCTAGGGAATGGGCTACCATTTGCCATCCCTAGTGCTAGGAGTTTTGTGCTATTTGTTTTGACTTTTATCCTTTTCTTTGTATGAGGACTTATTGTCCTCTTTCCTTCCTGTTGCTTTTTTAATAAAATTCTTTGTTGATGCTCAAAAAGGAGAAAACATACATGAAATTGATGGACTGAGTATGGAAAGTTTCTTTAGTTTCTATAAGCACAACAAAGGCAACACCAATTTCTCTAGCAGATTTCATTGACAGAGAAGGAAACATGAAGAATGTAATTTAAAGGAAAAACATGGCAATCTAAAGAAGACGTGGCAACCCAAGGGTAAAACAGCACGTGGAGAAAAAGAGCACATGTGGAAAAGCAAGAGCAGTTAGGAGCAGTTGTGCTAGAAAGGCTGTGAGGTGACAAGTGGGAAGATCTCATGAACTTGGTGAAGTGGCAGTTGTAAGGGGTTATAAAGTGCCCACGATCAAGGAATGAAGAAGAAAATTAGCAGTTGTGGCCAGCAGTTGGCAATCAGATTTTTGCCAAATTCTCAAATGGACTAGACCTATAATTTAAAGATAATTGTAATTGTTAGTGAGAGGGTGATTTATGATCAGGAGTTGGGCCGAAGTAACGGCCGAGCAGATTGAAAGCCCAACGGTGCATGGGGCCGAGATGATTGACCATCCGCCGCCAAGAAGTGGGCTGCCAGAACTTGAGCCGGGCAGAACTTGGGCCAAGTGTGAGCCGCCCCGGCCCAAGAAGAAGCTCGGCTAGATAGTGCTTGGTTGGACCGAGCTGCCTGATCAGGTGATGGCTGAAGCCAGACAAGCTGAGTGACCGGCGCGCGGAAAGGCGTGGTCAACCGAGGAGACTGTTTGACCGGCAGGAAGGCCGACCAAAGGAGGAACCCGGGCTAGGCACTGCCGGGATGCCGCCTAGCCCGATTCTCCATGTGTTTATCCGGTTAGGCACTTGGGTATGAAGCATGGCATGGCCGTGGTAGAGCAGCTCGGCTGCCGAGCTCCAGCTGTGAAGTCAGGCAGTTGAGATTAGGTGATGATCGGCAAGGTTTACGCTGACAGATGGGATAGCAGAGCCACGTGTCAGGAGATGACTGGGAGTGGATATGGGGCTCAGAAGGTATATAAGCATGTCTGCGCCCCCCATACGCGACACACGAACATCTCTGTAAGGAATTCTTACACTCAAACACTCTCTCCCTTCTCTCTATCCATCCTAAGGTGTGTGCTAACTTGATCGTCGGAGGGTTTTTCCGGCCACACACCGCCGGGTAGCTCACCATTACTTGCTCGCAGGTGATCGGACATCGACGGAGCTCGGAAGAAAGGAGTACGGGCTTGCCGGAATATTTGCTCCCCGTACAATTGGCGCCGTCTGTGGGAATACACCTTCATTCAGTATTTCACTTGGTAATACCAAGGTAGGGTTGTATACTTGAATCTGCCATCCATTCTACTATATGAGAAATGGTATTTGTCACCTAATTTATTTCACTATACTATTTTATCCTATAGGTGTATTTATTCAATTCAAGACATTGTGCATATTTAATAAAGGGCAAATTTCACTTCAATGTGCATGTGCAAACAACCCATATAATTTGAAAATAACTATAATGTTCTTCTGGTTTGTGGACTAAATAAAGTATACCGTAAATCAAAATTAATACTTATGATTTATACACAAATAAATAAATAAGTTAAAAAATATTTTAGGCTAAGTTTGGCATCTACTAAATAATATAAAAAGTCAAAAAATTACTATTCTATTTAAGCCCATTACAATGTTAATAACATCAGATACAATGTTAATAACATCAGAGTCATGTTACAAACATTGGATTTCAAACATCTAATGTTCATCAAATTTCAATAATGTTTGAAAATATAGGATGAAAAACATCTAATGTTCATCAGATTTCAATAAATTTTGAAATTATAGAATGAAACATCAGATCATTTACATCATTCACATCATGTTGATGTAAAAATGGGACTAAATGGAGCATAAGAAAACTTTTAGAACTAAATGGTTCAACGTTTCAAAAACTAGGACTTATGGGTAAATTTTCCTATAATTTATAATTGTAAACTTAAGTTGTTAACTTATTTGATATAATTGTGGAATTATGAATTTAAATAATAGAATAGTATTTAGTTGATAAGTTGTAAAAGAAATTTTTTAGCTGTATAATTGTCATTTTTTACTTTATATGGTATAAAAATAGTAATTATTTTGTCATTTTTTTTAATTTTAATTTTAAAAAAGTTCTTTTATTAATAAAAATTAATATAATTAGTATTACAAAAATTACTATTATTTTCATTAATAATATCAATTAGTATAAAATTATTTTATTTTTTCTTTATAAATTAATTAGTATCAATTAATGGTTTAATTAGCATCAATGCTTTTTTTTCTTCTTTTTCTTCATTTCTTTTTTTCTTTTTCTCCTTATTTTGTCATTTTAAATTCATTAGTGTCAATTAATGCCTTTATTAGTATTAATGTTGTGATGTCATTACATTATTTTTCTTTATATTAATTTCAATTAGTTATTTAATAGAAGTTATAATATTCAAATTTTTTTCATTTAATAAAAGTTATTTCATTTTGTATTTCATTTTTTTCTTTAATCTTAATTTTTTTTTAAATTGTGATTCTATTTTTATTAATTTTTTTTCATTACAATTAATAATATAACAATTGTTATTTTTTAATTTAGTGATATTTCATTTTTTCGTTTTTTTTAATGATATTTCATTTTTTTCATTTTTAGTAATTCATTTATTCATTTGACAAATCCTTTCATTTTTTTCAATTTATATAATTTTTTTTAGTGATATTTCATTTTTTCATTTTTAGTAATTCATTTATTCATTTGACAAATTCTTTCATTTTTTTCAATTTATATCATTTTTTTAGTGATATTTCATTTTTTCATTATAAATTAATTAGTGTCAATTAATGGCTTAATTAGCATTAATTAATACTAAAATTGTTAATTAGTATCAATTAATATAAAATTTATTTTATTAATGGCTAAAATGCTTAATTATTATTATGATTTTTTAATTAAAAGAACACTGAAAACCTCAACAACAAAAAAACACACTGAAAACCTCAACAACAAAAAAAAATACTGAAATCCATCGCCAGAGAGAGAGACTAGCAGTGACTAACCAACGCCGAACGACTATGGACAGTTGATCGTCACCGTCGATCGTCACGCAGTCGATTCTGATTCTAGGGTTTCAGATTGCGATCGTCACGCAGTCGATGGTTAGGGTTTCGATCGCGAAGCTAGGGTTTCGATCGCTAAGAGAGAGAGATCTGGTTCGCCTCTCGCCGGAAATCGCAAAGCTAGGGTTTCGATCGCTAAGAGAGAGAGAAAGAGAGAGAGAGCACCGGAAATCGCCTCTCTCTTTCTCTCTTAGAGAATGAACAGTGATGCTTGGTGGTTTATATAATGGCAATTTGGTAATACTTGAAATTAGTAAAGCGCATTTAAGGCTCCGTTTGGCAAGAGTTTTTTGGCTATTTTAGCCACAAAAGACAAAATAGGCTATTTTAGCCACAACAAACAAAACATCACATCCAACCCATAATCATTACACTATTCTTTCACAAAAAAAGTCAAAAAGTCCTTCACAAACCAAACTTTTTAACCCATGCTAAAATAGCCAAAAAAGCCAACCCACTTCCCAAACGGAAGCTAAGTAATTTTGTCCCTCAATTTGTAGCTTCTCACTTAAGCTAAATGAGTTAAGCATCCCAGAGGGCACTCAGCCAAAAAACACTTTTTTGGCTTAATTAAAGCTATAAAAAGAGATTTTAAGTTTTACTAAAGACACAAAAACAACTTGAAATAATCTAAAAGCTGAGTTAAGCAGCTTTTAAGCTCTACCAAACACCACCATTGGGAATTCTATTTCCACACACTACTTTCTCTCTTTTTACATATTTAATGATTTTTTTATTATATTTTTATCTTAAAATTAAATTATCAAAATATCCCTTTTCCAAAACCCTAACTCTAACTCTCTCAAACCATTAGTTTCTACCATCACCGTCCATGGCCACCGCCTCTCCCCTCTTCCACTCTTCTCGTCGCCTTTTCCCCACCACTGCGACCCTCATTTGCCTAAAAAAAAGATTAGTGCACCACTGCGATCTCTCTCTGCCTTCATTGCCCATGCCTTCATCTCTCCCCTCCACCAAGCAAATCGCCATCACCTCCACTTTCTGCACCCTTCGCGACTGTGAGAGAGAGAAAAGAGAGAGGGGTCGATCTCAAGGGAAGAGGATTAAAGTCGCGATGGTGCCACCAGTAACCACCCTACTTTGCGATTAAGAAAGAGAGAGGAAATCAGAGATCGATTTTGACGATGAAGGTTACAGAAGTGGCATCGACGGATGGAGGGAGAGGTAAGAGTAATGACTGGAAGTAAAAGAGAGGCGAAAAGGTGCCGACGACGGTGGCAACAGCGATGGTGGCTTGTTAGGGTTAGGGTTTGGAGGATGAAGAAGGTAAGGGTATTTTTGGTATCGTAGGATGTGTATTGAGTGAATGTTGATAATTTAAATTTGGGTTATTCTACTTACACCACTACTTTACCTTTTACACCCTCCATATGAGTTTTTTTTTCTCTCCAATTTTATCCATGTGTGAAATTACCTTTAAGGACAAAACACTAAAATTAAATATATTTTATTATCTCCTTACAGCCCTTGGTCTTCAATCCCTACTCCTCTTTTTCCTTTCTTAATTTTTCTTTTCTCTTGCACATCTCTTTTCAAAAAGTGAGAATCATAGTATTTTGATTATTAAAGAAAGCAATGGATGAAGAAACAGTGGTGAAAAACCATCAAAAAAGTGCAATGGTGAGTTTTTTTATTTATTTGGTAGGTTTTTGTTTCGTTTTTTTGGACTGGTGTTCAACTTTCATCCGGTGGTTTGAAATCGAACAAAATAAAATAGTCCGGCATCACATTGCCGTGCAAAAAATATAAGTCTGGTAACCAGCTATTGAATAAAAGATACATTTCCGGTAACCCCAAACCAATTTTTTTTAATTTGTTCGGCTTTTCATTATCATGTATTTTCAGTTTCAATTTTTTTATATTTTTTATTTTTTTGCCTAAAAAGATTATACTTATACTTATTGTGTCACAACCCAACCCCAGGGGCTTAGGGTTGGAATCGCAACTTACTACTTATTGTGTCACAACCCAACCCCAGGGGCTTAGGGTTGGAATCGCAACTTACTAACTTATTTTATTTGTAGCAAATTAAACTGCGCAAGCAGAAATAAAAATAAGTAAACGGAAAATTTACTTCATTTTACTATTTAAGAAAAAGAAAATACATCTATACGGCTTTAGTTATTTTATTAATCAGTGACCGGCCCCGAGTAGAATAAAAAGGAAGCAAAAATTAAAAAAAATAAAAATAAAAATAAGTGGTTCAACAGCAATCCATGTGCGGGTTCCATTTTGTGGGGTTATGAGTTTTCCCTACATCTCGTCACCTGAAAGGGTAACA